TAATCTCTTCCAAAACCATCTAATATAATTGGAAAATGCAGAATAACTTAGGCAAACAGGTTTCATTTCGTCAGGTGTAACAAAGGAGTAGGGACATTCAAGCTCTCTGCCTGAACGTGTAGTGCAGCTTATTCTGCGCAGTCCTGGCTGGAGGAGAGCCTCTCCTAACACCTCAGGGGCTTGCAAGAAGGTTTAACCTGGTTTCCTTGAAGACTGGCAGTTGGGTGGAACTCTTAAAAAAAAATAAAAGTACCTGAAAACTGCTTCTCTGGGATTATTAGCTGAGCCTTATCTGTTCATATGAACCTTTTGCTTATATTGTGTAATTCCACTATTGGACGCTATCTTTGTCTGAGTCAGAAAGTTGTAGAAAACAACCCTGCAGTAATTGCATTTCACTTTTGGGTCCTTCATAAAGACACTCTTTTAATGAGTGTTTAAGATCTGTAATGATTACAGTGTTAAACTCTGTTTAACAGAAAGATAGTATATTTGATCACATGGTAGGCTTTCTGTATATAGCATTTTTCCCACTGCTTTGTGGTCAGACGTTTTATGTTTATTTTATGCATATGAAAGAACTGTTTTGTTTGTTTCCAAAATGGGAATCACTGCTAATCACTGTTAAATCAAAATCCCTAATCCAAATATCTCGTCTTGTTTCAGAAAGGTGAAAAAACGTTCAAGTGAGAGATGTAAAACAGTATTCATGATGAGCAGCAGTACAAATAGAGAAGCATTCTGGATTTTGAAGTATTTTATAAACCTAGACTTTCAATAGCTATTGCGTAGCTGTGCTACAGAGCTGCACTTTTGTGCAGGACAGATTGAATACCTTTATATTTTTCTCTGAAAATGTATAAAAATATAAATGTATTTTAATATTTTTTAAAAATTAGTTCTGTATTTTGTTTTAGGTAAAGGTCTATAAGAGAAATGAGATAAAATTATAGCCGTGTCCTCCATGTGTTGAGTTTTAAAGCAGTTCTCTCTTCAGTAGCAGCGTGGGTATTGCATAATGCCCTGAAGACATGCGTTATTATTTAATGAATGTTGCTCCTGACTGAGGGAACTTACTTACATGTTGGGGACTTAACTACAGAACTGGCTATTTCTACTACTTCTGCAACAGTCAGATAACTATGTATAGGAACCCCTGCAATAAAACTGCCAACACTTTTCACTTGTTGTGTTGCTTGAGAGCAGTTTGTGTAACAGTTCAATCTACATCTTATCACTATACACAATTTCTCTGCAATGTGGCTAAGTGAAAGCTCTCCCACTAGCAGGATCAAATTTGATATTAAGCCATTAGTTAAAAATAAGATAGAATAGAATAGAGTAAGATAAAATAAGATAGAATAAAATAAAATAAGATAAAGTAAGATAAGATAAAGAGATTTTGCTTTGAATAGCCTTTCTGCTGGAGGTCTTATTCAGTCGCACCGAGCATGCTCAAGCACCAGCAGAGCTTACATGGATGACAATTATGTTTTTTTTCTTCTTTCCTTTTTTCTTCTGCAGGGCTTTTTAGAATTTGGTAGCAGTTGTTGTCCAGCCCTGCTCCCCAGAAATCAAAGTTACCGAAGTCACTAGTGACAGATACATGTTTAGACAAAAGGACCTGAGAAAGCATGCTAGCGAGGAAGAAATTAAATTCACGTAGAGATGAGAGCCAGCCAGCAGATATTATCTGGCATATGCTCCTAGGTAATCCACATTTTCTGAAATAAGTCTTGGCTAATAAAGAGATTTTTGTCCCCTGAAAATTTTCAAAAATTCCACATGATATTTTGAATATAGAGAAGTGGCAGCCTCTATGGAGCACAAATACGGGCATTACGAATGAAAAATGGGCGTGTTAAAAAATCAGCAAACTAATCTTGGGAATGAATTTCTCTGTATTGTGAGTGTTTTCTGACATCAGGCAGCAGAGCATGAAAAATAAATCTGCTTCCCCAAATCTATTTGACCGTGATTAGAATTTTTCACTGGTAAAGAGAGAAAGAGAGAAATCTGTGGAAGGATAAGTAACGGAGACTCCTGAGAGAGACAAACTGAGATTTTTGCTGTCCTCATTTTCAAAGAGAATGATTTAATGACAATTTCCTTTGGAATCAGTAGAATCAGTAGATCTGTATTCTGCCTGTGACCCTGCTGGAGAAGGCTGTGATTTAGTGGCAGCCAGATAAATAAATGGCCCAGGTGTCTGCTGGAGAAAAAAAGGCCAGGAGGCAAAGAGAAGGTTTTAAGCGTGCAAAGTTTCCTGACCAAAGATGTGAAAAGACGAGCTAGCAGGTCGTGTCTCTGTGAGTGGAGCGTCAAGTCAGGGTCAATATGAGTGGGCATGAGCGTGTCGTCCTGAGAAAGGGAGGAGTTTCATACAACTCAAGAAATTGGTAGGTCTGGTACTATACAAAACAAGTCTTAAATTAGTTCTAGTTATTAAAAAAAATAAACAACTTGTTTCTTGAGTCCATTATATAACAACCAAGACTGAGGAAATTGGTCTGATCAGTAGGGAGACCTGTTGTTAGATGGCATTGACAGTGCCTAAAATGTATTTTCTCTTGCTCTGTGACCCAGCTGACTGTCAGCCCTTTGCCAACAACATTAGAACATTCTGAGTCAGATGGCATATTTGTATTCTTAATGCTGGCATCAGTTATTTGGCTATAAACTGCATCTTCATTAGATATTTCGAATGATACCAAACTAGAAAAGATTGCAAGGCAACTGGAAGACTTACAATATGGAATAATGATGATAAAATCTAATAATTGTTCAAAAAAAACCCACCTAACTCTAATCTAGAGTTGTAAATGCCTAAAACGCATACCTGAAAGACTGCTACAAAGAAGAAAATGGTATGTTTTGTATGCTTATGATGGATCAGAATAGGAGTGCTAGGCTTAAATTTCAGGAGGGAAGATGAAAATTAGGCTTTAGGAAAATTGTGCCCATACCAAAGGTATCTAAGAAGCGAGAGGGAACACTCTAGGACTACGTGAAGACTCCCTTGCGGGAGGACTTTTGAACAAATGTCCCTAGGCACCTGCCAGGACTGGTTGCTTAGGTCAAGTGAATGGTCGGCATAACCTCTTGAGTTCCGTCTTTTGTGTCCTTCACTATCTGTATGGAGTAGGGTAACTGGAGATGCATCAGTTCATGGAAGAGGAGATCTTTCGTTTCTTTCCGTAGCTTTTTAAAATGGCATTTTCAAATTTTATCGGACTCCTCTGATGTAGAAGTTATTAGAAGACAGAGCTCGTGAGAGGGCCTGCCCTCCCCAATTTCAGTGGAATCTGTATTTGGTTTTGTCCCCAGACTTTGGAATCTGTTCTGTGTTTTCTTCTTGCATATCCTGATCTCCTAGACAGAGGCCACCAGATGAGGTTCCACTTACGAGCACCTGTATCTGTGTGTTCAAATAGGTTGCAGGACAAGTTTGCTCTGTTTGCAGAAAGCTTCAAGAAACGTGGAAATGTCACAGGTCCTCTTGTGATGTACAATTTCAGGTAAATTAGGAAAATTTCAGCTGCATATAACTGACATTAATGGGATATAATCACAGCAGTATTCTGATATGAAAGTTTTTGCAGAATTGAAAGTCAAACTTGGCTTAGGGGAGCTGTTGAAAGAGTTTTGTGCATGGAACAGAAGCAAGCAAAAGGATGGATGATGATGATGACTATTATTATCTTCCGTTGTTCTTGCAATGAGCTTGTAGCCACACGGTCATGAAAGGTTACTGCAAAGAAGCAGAGAATAATGTCCTCACAGAGAAACTTGCTGTTTTCAAGGCTGCTTTGGTGGCAGCGATTTCGGGAACGTGGGCAAAGTAAGGTGTGATCCCAGGAAAAAGGATAGAAGCGTCAGGATGCCCACCTAAGCAGAATCACCACAGGCAAACACGCTCCATTTCTCGTGTGATTAGTATGGATTTGGGATAGGAGGAGGAGGAAGGAAATACCACATTATTATAAACTGAGAAACCCTGGGAGTGGGTATATTATCCTGTAAGATTTTTAAATGTGCCTTGCTGCAAGGTCTCGGGTAGGATCTCCTCAGAACCAGTGTCGGGTACCTCCTGAAAACATCAGGCTGTTCTCTTCCCTGCCCCTGTTTCTTTTCACACTGTCCTCATGCCCTCAGGATAAGGCCCTGTGGGTCTTCATGTCCTCAGGATAAGGCCCTGCGGGTCCTCGTGTCCTCAGGATGAGGCCCCGTGGTGGCCCCTGGGTCCTCATGCCCTCAGGATGCGGCCCCATGGTGGCCCGTGTCCTCAGGATGAGGCCCCATGGTGACCCGTGGGTCCTCATGTCCTCGGGATAAAGTCCCGTGGTGGCCTCTGGGTCCTCATGCCCTCAGGATGCGGCCCCATGGTGGCCCATGTCCTCATGCCCTCAAGGATGAGGCCCCATGGTGGCCCGTGGGTCCTCATGCCCTCAGGATGAGGCCCTGTGGGGCCGCGCTCCGCACTTGGGGCTCGCGCGGCCGCCTCAGAGCGCGGCGGGGACGCGGGCGCCGCGCGGGGGCCGGCGGCGGTGGCGGCGGCAGCACCGCGCGCCCCGCTCGCTTGGCCACCTCTCAAGGCGCAGGCGGAAAAGCGGCGGCGCCGCCGACTGCCGCCGGGTCCCGCGGCAAAAACGGTCCGTGACAGTCGCAAGAGTTCAGAGGGAGAGGAAGGCGGATCGGTTTAGTGTCAGCCGCAATTAGATAATCAAGGCTTAAAAAAAAAAAAATCCCCCCTGCGCGGATACCTTAACCTGGCGCCGGGGCGCGCCACGCGGGGCCGGGGGAGGCGGGCCGCGCGCGCCAAGGGCATTTCCAGAGGCAGCGCGGCCGAGGCCCGGCCGGGCGCGCAGGTTGTGCGGCCGCACGCTCGCACGGAGCGGTTTTTCTTGGCAGCTCGACAGGATGAGGCTCGCGCCGTGCACGGCCGACATGTTGAAGGCGAGAGCCGCGGAGAGCGCAGAGGCAGCAGTAGCAGCAGCTCTGCACGCAATGTAGCGTCTCCTAGGATGGTGGGGCGGCTCCTTTCTGCAGGTATTTTATTACCCGTCAGCCCTTTTTTTTTTTTCCGTAGCCAAAAGAGGAGGAGAGGAGGTAAAGAGAGGAAAAGGAAAGGAAAAAAGTAACCCTAACCCTGAGAAAATAGCATCTGCTTCTGTTAAATCAGCCTTTATTACATAACATTTCAGAGGCAGAGCTGCAGCGCAGCGTCCTGCGCTTTTTGGCTGCGTTTCAGGTTTGATAAAATGGCGTCTTCGCAGCGAGCTGCTTGCTGGAGATATGTTGCACAGGGCAGAAAGATGAAATTGTCTGGCATTTTCTCCTGCTGTTTCTGCTCTGGAGAGGTAGCATTCAGAGGAATCCCTTCTAATCGCGGAAGCTGTTGTTTTATTTGTGCTTGTTCTGCTAATGCATTTAAAGGGTTCCAGCATCAGAGGAAAGGAGCTGCGTTTTAATGTCGTAGTGCAACAAATTAAAGCAGGGCAGCAGGCTTTCCACTTGGGCACTTAATGATGGCTTAGGCTTGGAATGAATAAAGCTGTTTTATTTAGCGCTTCCATCTCTGTCTTCCCACGTTACGTTTGCTTTTCACGATTTCATAAAAAGAGACTTGCTGTAAGTTGGCTTCATAAGTTACTTCAGATCGATGGCAGTTTTTGAATTTGTCCTGAGCCTCAGACTCTGTATGCGTATATCTAAATGTATCTGCTACCCTTAAATATTAGCACCTCCGCTCAGAGGTTTGCTACTTTTGTTCTTTAGAATCGATGCTTGCATCGTCTTTACTTTTATAAATTCCATTTGCTCCAGCACTTCAGATGCTTCTGGCAGTTCCCATTTAATCGAGAATGAAAAAACATCATGTGTAGTCTGTTTTAAAGCTTGCCTAATGTTGACTTGAATGGAAAATAATTTCTTTTTGCGGTGGGGAGGTACGAACACGCCTTTCTGTTTAGTTTACCTGCTCAGAGCCTTTAAACTTTGCATGATAATTAAAAGCCCCATCCAGGGCTGTCCCCCGCCTTCAGGATATTTCTCTCTTGTGCATGTCAAAGCAAAGGACAACATGGTCTATAATGTGTCCTTTCGGCAGGACAAAACAAGCCAATGAATCTCATTGCTCTTATGCTGACTAAAACAAATTGCAAAATAAAACTAGTATTGGAGTGGTGGGGGGGGGGGGAGGAGGACACCACTATTAGATTTGATTTAAAAAGGGATAAACACAACGTTATTAATAACATGGTTCTCATTAAATATTTATGCCAGGCTTTGCCATTTCACACCCTCTCCATGCTTTGGTTCGTAAATCAGCTGAATGTTGCATTACAGCTGAGGATGCCTAATTTCACTGTGCACAGTACAAACTAATTACAGTAATTGGAGTTGGGAAGACGCATTTATTTTTAACTCAGCTGAATAAAAATGAAAAGAAACACTCCTCTAAACCACGTTTTCCGAGGTGGATCTGCGTTTCAGATAAACAGCTTGTGCTGGCAAAGTATTATTTCAATAATTATTTCAAAGAAACCCATACAACCATTTCTCACATTTCACTCTCGTAGCGTATGCGTGTAATCTATGTCAACATTAAACCATTTTTACAACTAATTATTCATCCTAATTATGGAGCGCAGGCAGAAATGGTTTCTATTTTTAGTAAGTATGGAATCAAAGTTTGCAAAGCGTATTGAGTGCAATACTTAGTAATACCAGTAATCTTCCCTCTCCCTACTAAGGATATTATGAATAACTCTTATGGCTAACGCTGATTCAAGCTGGGCATTTTTCAGGTATGCACTTCTGTTGCAGTTTGACAGAAGGTGGGTGTTTATGCTTAAATGTTAATATTGTAAATTAGTTTTTCCTTTGCAACTGCTGAAGAAATTTTAGTAAACAAAGGAGCAGTATTTTATGAAAGATGCACATTTAAGCTTTTCAAGCACAAAATGCTACTTTAAAAGTTGCTTTCACTTTTGTGGCTTACCAGTACGAAGAGCTGCTAATAGAAAATACCTGTGGTTCTTGTGCCTGAGGCGGTGGTAAAAATCTTCATTCGATTCATGGAGGAAAGCTGGAAATGTTCCCGACAGGCTGCAGTGCTTTACCCTGCTCCCTGCAAGTAAATGAAAGGGGAACCAGTTCTCAAGAACTAATATTTTTAATGGCTTCCCCATTTCAGTTGAACAACTTGGAAAATAAAGCAGAAGGAAATATTGGCAATTTTTATGAAGAGTTGGTTTCTTAGAGAGTTGGAGGGAATTTCTAGTTTAGGGGGGAAAAAAAAAGGAGAGGGAAAAATTCCCTAGATTTAATCATGAAAAATATTTTTCCTTTCATTAGTTTGCCTGTTTGCCTATATGTTTTAAATCCTCATGGATTAAGTAGGACTCTGAGCTACTGTTTAGTTATTTATTCTCAAGGAAAAGAGAAGTAGAGAAAATGGAAAAATATCTCTTGTTTATTTGCTTCCAGAGGCAAGAACATAAAAATTACTCTCTCCAGGGTCTCTACTCAAACTGTTATTTTTCTCCAGGACTAAAGTCACAGATTTTTGTAGCTTGTGTGTTTATTTTGTGCATTCTTTTCCACTGTCTTCATATGCCTTTCGACTGTCCCGTTGCTGCTGCTTTTATGGCAGCAGCGTCCTGGTGTTGGAGCTGGCCCGTAACGTTCAGGCACTGCGGAGTGACTGCGGAGTGACTACGTCTCTGGAAAACGAACACAGTCGTCCAGGTTGAGATTGGAAGCAAGTTGCTGCTTCCAAAGAGCTCCTGCGAGTCGTCTGCTCCAGCAGGTCCTCGGCCACGTGGGAACCGCCCTCAGGTTTTTCCAGGCATTTTTGAGACTCACTGTAGTGAGCCTGATGTAGCCCAGAAGCCAAAGCCAGACAGTTCAGAAAGCTGGTAACTGAAGTAGCTTTTGGAACAGCATCTGTCTTAAATCTCCAAGAAACCATCTTTGTCTGAGTACATTCTTTTCTTTCTTTTTTTCCCCTTTTATTTTTGTTGTAGCAGATAATCCTACCGCTCTTCGTGTTATACCGGAAGGATTTGGATTTGGATTTAGATTTTTACCAGATTGTTTGGGCTTTGTTGTTGTTGTTGTTGTTAATGTATTTTTTGTGCGAGCTCAGCCTGATGGCACTGACCAGGCCGCAGAACAGGGAATGTCCAGGACAGGTACCATTTTATTGAAGAAATATTTCCCTATGTTATGTCATAACAGATTTATGTGAACCCTCATCAAGGCGGCCACTTTGAGATTACTGGTTATTGATAGTGGGTGTGTATGAATCTCCCTAAAAGAAAATGTACCAGTGCTGTCTGGCAATATCCTTTGATTTGTAACCCCTCCAAAAGCATTCCCTTCCTGGGGCTTGCTTTCTTTGTTTTATTTGTTTGTTTTATTTTTTTTTTCCTTATTTCTCTGTCCCTGAAAATCCTAGTATCTCATCTAATGAATCATTTTGCTCCTTTACTCCCAGGAATCTTCTACAGCTCTATTTACTCATCAGTTTTTCCCATACCCTCTCCTTGTCTTTACCTTCTCTCTACAAGTGATTTCATCTTTGAGCAGGACTCATGATCATCCATGTTTAATAAATAAGTAAATAAAGATTGAAGTGACTTCTTTTCCTCTCATGTTGTGGGTCTTGTCTCGGCAAGTATAGAGCCATCTCCTTGCACTGTGCTCTTGATCTTTCCTCGCAAGCCTGCCCTCCACAGGCGCTCTCGCCGGCCTTGGGCAGCACCGTCCTTCTCCCAGGCACTCGCATATCCACACTAGCAGCTTTGACAAGACTTTTTTTTTTGGAACTATAGGTTTCAAGTCACTTAAATCTTTCTGGCACGTCTGAAATGCACAGCTGAATCTCACCACCCACGGTGTTGGAAAAAAATCTCACAGCTCCTCTTATCTGATTCCTTGGTTACCTCACCTTCTTATCTTCTGGCCTCGACTGCTGCCCCTTTCTTCCTTTGTTATTTCTACTCTTCTGAGAATGCTACTTGGCTCATTTTTTCTGACCCTGTCGACCCATTTTAAGTCATTTCACTGGCTTTCTTTCACGATCCGTGTCTTACCTAAAATTCTGATCTCTGTTTGGCACCTGGATAGCAAACCTGGATTATGAGATAAATTTTCAGCCTTCTCCTTCAGCTCTGGCACCGTTGCAGACCTGCAATGTCCCCATTCAGCTTTGTCTGGGAATAACATGATGTTTTTCCCTTGCCGGCCGCTGTGTACAGGAGAAAAGCCAGGTCAATCTGGCTACTATCGGGCTACTAATATGATAATATTATACTTTCTTTTGGATCTGCCATAAAAGCCTCAATTATTTTGTTCTTTTTGTGAAACACTTCTTGCCTCTAATCATAAATCTTCAGATTTGCATGTCGTACTTAGTTGAAATTCAGTTTGACTTTCAGGAACTCTGCTGTAAAAGTACTTTCGAATTAATATATGAGCATTCAGTTTCTTTGAGGCTCAGATGACATGCTAGTTGGAATCACAGGATTCCTATCCATATTGTGAGTTTTTAAATGCAAATTCTTCTACACAGCAGTTTTCTGTCTTCCAAAAGCATCCTTGAATGCATTGGTGGAAGTAGTGTTTATGAAGATGGGAGTTGGAGCTCTTAGATACTGAGATACTTGAAGGTCTCTCTTGTGGGAAAAGTTCTGCCATCTACTTCTGGTCCATCCTGAGCTGGCGAGCCAGTCTGAGACTGTCCTGTAGAAACGTCTTCAACAATAAAAGTTAAGGGAAATACTGAAGTCGAAGGGTTAGTCAGAGCATTCAGACGTTTGAAGAACTAGAACCCCTAAGGATTTAAAAAGAAAAAAGAAAAGAATGGACATACTGTCCTGGTTTAGAGTGTTCTTCCTTCATAGCTAATCTTAGTTTAGGCATTAGGCAACTTGAGTCTTGTCTACTAAATGCTTGAAAAGCTACAAGCAAAATGTGTGAATAACTAGGCTTGGTTTAAGAGGGGAAGCTCTTTTTATTCTTAGATGAAATTTTTCCCAGTATTGGCATGCTTTCAACTGGAGGCAATTAAGAAAGAGTGAGTTGCATTAAATTAATGTATATTACGCATCTGCTATTAACAGCTCGTTGAGGAGACTTGTATATGAACTCCCTACAAAATAGTTCTTGCATTTCATATTCAAATCTAATCTAGAATAATTGAGCATAAAAAAAAACTTGTGTGGTTGTGTTATTGCAGGGTTAAAGCAAGTAAAAATAATTGGTATTCAGAATTCATAATGTACCATTCAGATACTGTTTCTCCTTTATTCGGGAAACTAGTTTGAAGAACCGTGCTGCAGATTGCCTTTAGTCAGTATCCATAGGATCTCACTGAACAATTTGCAATAAAAGTTCTTCTGGAAGAAAATAAAAGTAGTAATTTGTACTAAAACTCTCTTATACAGAGCAATCAGCATATAAACAAATGCTTCAGATTCATAACCTGAAGTAGGCTTGAAATTGCCTTGTCTCCCAGATGATTAAATTTCATACTCTAGCAAGCAAATAGATGCTCAGGAGCTCTGCGTTGGATTTTTGGATTAGTATGGATATTTAAAGGTGTGGGAGGTGCTATGAAAATCCAGCATCCTGAGTTATCTTCATAAGGTAACCTTTATTTTCTTTGATTTGGGAGAAAAACCGGACTGTATGTGCCAGTTCTAGGATTTGCAGGGGGCTTCAGCACTTTTTAAGAACTCAGTTCCCTGGCAAAACTGACTTACTTAGGAAAGTCTATGTTCTCTGCCAAAAAGAAGGTTAGACTAATGGTTTTTAACTGTGTTATTGACACAGAATAGATAAGATGACTGTCAGTAGTTGTTGGTTTGCATATAGATAGGTTTGAGAAGAACTTAAATGAAGTATGTGATGATGGGACTGTGGCTGTGTTGTAATAAGCAATGACTGGTGGACGCTTTAAATTTTTTATTAGGTATACTCTTTTATGGTGATTCTCTGAAGAATGAGAATTGATTGCACCAAAGTAAATGATAAGCGTCTCCTCTCCTTGAGATCTCCTCAAGCATTTCCTTGAACTTTGCTTTTTAGGTTTTTCCTGTCATTTGTATATTTGCTCTCCATGTATATTACCTGTTCAGTCTTTTACTGACGTATCCAGAAATGCGAAGTATTTTTGTTACTCTGCCTTCAACCTAAATACTTTCATTTTAATTGGGAGTTTGGTCAGAATAAGAGATACAAAGATGAGCATGGTGCTTTACTGTAGTGAATAAAACTATTGTACCGCTTCAAGAAATGTACTCCACAATTTAGTTAGCATAATTCAGAGTTTAACTTAGAGTGCTGGGTTAGAAGGTATGGTAGTCTACGATAGTCCTTTACTAGGGTTTTTTTTCATGGTGCTTGGAACAGTGGACTCATTTTTAACCTTGTTGGATCCTTTCAGATCTCAGTCACAGTGGATTGGGAGACCATTATGAAAATTCCCACTGGGGACAGCAGCCCACTTTCCGGAGTGACGGCAACTGCAGCTGGGATAAAGTGATAATAGACAGGACTGACAAGGAAGCGTGGCCTTCCATTACAGGAGCTGAGACTGAATCTGCCTCAGAATGTACTACAGACACTGACTCTGCCTCCAACTGTGGCTCAGAGAACAGTAGCATGGCTACAGGGAGTGCCCAAGGCAACTTCACTGGACATACAAAGAAAACTAATGGCAATAATGGCGCCAACGGAGCACTCGTCCAAAGCACTTCTAACCAGAGTGCCCTTGGAGCTGGCGGAGCAAACGGCAACGGGAACTCAGCCAGAGTGTGGGGGGTGGCTGCAGGCTCCAGCTCTGGCCTAGCTCACTGCTCTGCCGGCGGTGGGGATGGAAAGATGGACAACATGCTTGGAGATGGTAGAAGTCAAAACTGCTGGGGTGCTTCCAACTCAAATGCTGGCATTAATCTTAACCTTAACCCTAATGCCAATCCAGCTGCCTGGCCTGTACTTGGACATGAAGGAACTGTGGGAGCAGGCAACCCTTCCAGTATTTGCAGTCCGGTCAGTGCCATAGGTCAGAACATGGGCAACCAGAATGGGAACCCGACGGGCACCTTAGGTGCCTGGGGAAACTTGCTGCCGCAAGAGAGCACAGAACCACAAACGTCCACTTCTCAGAATGTGTCTTTCAGCGTACAACCTCAGAACCTTAACACTGATGGACCAAATAACACTAACACCATGAACTCTTCACCAAACCCTATCAATGCAATGCAGACAAACGGACTGCCAAACTGGGGGATGGCTGTTGGTATGGGGGCCATCATCCCGCCCCACCTGCAAGGCCTTCCTGGTGCTAACGGAACATCAGTTTCTCAAGTCAGTGGGGGCAATGGTGAAGGAATGGGCAGTTCAGTGTGGGGGATGTCCCCAGGTAATCCTGCCGCAGGAAACAGCAATTCTGGGTTCAGTCAGGGGAATGGAGACACTGTGAACTCAGCATTAAGTGCTAAACAAAACGGATCCAGCAGTGCTGTGCAGAAGGAAGGAAACGGAGCGAGCGCGTGGGATTCGGGGCCTCCCTCTGGCCCGGGGGTCCTGGCGTGGGGCAGGGGCGGTGGCAGCGGGGGCGTGGGGGGGATGCATTCTGGAGCGTGGGGCCACCCCGGCCGCAACGCCAGCAACGGCGTCAACGGCGAGTGGGGCAAGGCCTCCAACCAGCATTCCAGTAGCGACATCAACGGGAAAGGATCAGCGGGGTGGGATGGCTCGAGTGTTACCGGCCCCAGCCCTGGCGCGCAGCAGGGCAACGAACAAATGAACTCTTGGGCCAAGGCTGCAGCGTCTGGCACCACGGCTAGCGAAGGAAGCAACGACAGCAGTGGGAGCCAAAATGAAGGCAGTGCTGGGAGGGAGGGGGCTGCAGAAGGCAGGAGGAGAGACAAAGGGATGATCGACCAAGGGCAAGTTCAGTTGCCAAGAAATGACCTTGACCCCAGGGTCCTGTCCAATACAGGGTGGGGACAGACCCCTGTAAAGCAAAACACTGCCTGGGAATTTGAAGAGTCCCCGAGGTCTGAACGAAAGAATGACAATGGAACAGAGGCCTGGGGTTGTGCAGCTACTCAGTCTTCAAACTCAGGGGGGAAGAACGATGGGTCCATCATGAACAGTACAAATACCTCTTCAGTATCTGGGTGGGTCAACTCTCCACCTGCAGCTGTTCCAACAAACACAGGTTGGGGAGACAGTAACAACAAAGCACCAAATGGCCCAGGGGGATGGGGAGAGTCAGCAAGCTCTACTACTGTTACTAATGCTGCTGCTGCCAAAAGCGGCCACGCTTGGAGTGGGACCGCAAATCAGGAGGACAAATCACCTACCTGGGGTGAACCTCAGAAACCCAAATCTCAAAACTGGGGAGATGGACAGAAATCAAACCCAAGCTGGACTTCGGGAGGTGGAGATTGGGCAGATTCATCGTCTGTTCCCGGACACTTGGGTGATGGGAAGAAGAATGGATCTGGATGGGATTCTGACAATAGATCGGGGTCCGGTTGGAATGATTCCGCGAGGTCTGGGACCAGTGGGTGGGGAAATGGCACAAACAGCAAGGCTAATACAGGTACAAGTTGGGGGGAGTCTTTAAAACCGGGCCCCCAGCAAAATTGGGCTAATAAACCCCAGGACAGCAACGTGAGCAACTGGGGAGGAGCTGCTTCTGTCAAACAGACGGGGTCGGGGTGGGTTGGGGGGCCAGTGCCAGCCAAACAAAAAGAGAACTGTGAGGCAACTGGCTGGGAAGAGCCATCTCCTCCGTCCATTCGCCGCAAGATGGAAATCGATGATGGTACCTCAGCTTGGGGCGACCCAAACTACAACAACAACAAGACTGTAAACATGTGGGATAGAAATAATCCTATCATTCAGAGCAGTACCACAACCAATACCACCACCACGAGCACCATTATCAACACAAACATGGTTGAACCTCAGCCACCGCACCAGTCAAGTGCCCAGCCGAACCGCTCCCCGCTGCTTGGTCCAGGTATGAAAATTACTCTATTTGCTTCTAAAACAGAGATGAAACACAAAGAATTTAAATTTGGTGGTTTTCTCATTGCCCCCCCCTCCCTTTTTTTTTGGAGGAATATGTAACTTTCTGACAGGGAGGAACAACTTTTGAATACGCAAAGCGAATTATTAACAATGTAAACTTTGTTTCCCTTTGGTAATCCCTTTGGTATTTTCTCTTTATTCACTGTGATTGTAATATAACAGTTTACTGAGTTTTTCAAACAACCGTCCATCAGGGGAGCTTACATCATTTGGCTGATTGGGCTACATTCACTGGCATTGATAAAGTCCGTGCTTCCTTTGGAAGTTCCCTCTTGGTCCGTATGGCAATTGAAATCTTGCTGATGTGGAGGACATGCTGGGAAATCCACTGAGAAGCTTGTGGAATTCTGTTAAAGGGGGAAAAATGAGATATTTAATGATGTTTAACCTGTTTGTGGAAAGAGAGCTTTAGGAAACTTAAGATCTTCTCTTAGACTTGAAGTCAAGCTCAGCAGAAAAAATTGGCAGAAATTTAATCATTACCACTGAAGCACTATTAACTTCTTGTCCTAATAACAAGGCTCGTAGAACCAGACATGCAATTATTCATCTTAATTCAAAGTGTTCGAAATAACTAAATAAAAGTCCAGAAAGAATTGCAAGGATCTTTTGCTGGCTCCACAATGAAGGCAAGCAAAACTTGAAAAAACTCAGATTAAGAAAATGCTGGGTTCTTAGATTCTTGGTCTGTATTTATTTCTTCAGGTCTTCCACAGTGAGGCAACACCTTGTTTTAGCAGCTTCTTTAAATTCAAGCATTTGGGGTTGGGGTTTTTGCTAACCTTTTTTTCCTTTTATTTGCCTTCTGTTTCTATTTTTCTAGTCTTTGTTCTTGTTTAGACACTCTGCATCTGTTTCTTTCCTACAAACTGTATCTCTTGGCAACAGACACATTTTTTTTTTTAACAGTTGCATGAGTTTAGGCTGTTTCTGTTCCTGTGTCTTCTGTTTGTTGTCTTTTATAGAGATTATTTGTGTCCATCCTTTAGGTCTCAAACATGGGTAACACCTTGAATTTCTGTGTGCTTTTCATAAAGTTGGATTGATTAAAGATATCATTGTTCAGGGTAGCAAGGAAATGTATTTTGACATGATCTGAGTTCAATTGCAAGTTTTTAGGAATAGAAACTAGGGTGGTTTTCTTAATTTAAAGTCAAGGTACTGTTGTAGATAATCAGGGAGGAATAAAAATGGAAGAAAAAGAAGAAAATTGCTTTAAGAGAGCAGAGGTTTAACCAGAAGTTACTGGAAAACCTCTTCTATTTGATGTCCCACAGACTTCTCAAAAGAAATCTAGGCATTCTGTATAAAATTCTTCCATCTGATGCTGTCTCCCTGTCTCCCAAGTTTTTGTTTTGTCTTGGTCATGGCTAAATATAGACTTTTTCATTGTGCTTATCTCCAAGTGGGATCTGTTTTCACTTCTTAATTTTTGTCATTTTTATTCTCTTTCCAGTGTTCTGAAATAATTCAGGCTTACTGTAGCATCTGTATAAAAATAGTCTCATGTTCCCTGCCTCGGTTCAGTCTTTTAACAGTTGAGAGTGTGTATTTTAATACAATGACAGGAGGTTCAAAAGGAGAACTCTTTACAGAAGTCTGCAAGCGAACCGTCCAGCATATTCGATGCATCGTTCTAGTTTGCCTTAAACTAAACGTCCTTCCTTCCCCTGAACGTCCTTGACATTTCTGAATTGTGCTGTCATCGAAGTGTTTGCCTGTTTGTTTGCTTTAAACTGATTTTTGGCTGAGTACACTCGTGCTTATAAAACCATTCATTTAAAAGGACACATTGCTTATGCTGTTCATATAACCTTAACACCTTGCAAAGGAAAATCAAATGTTTGGAATCTTTCACGTTTTGAAAATTGACATTTAAAAAGCTCTGGAATTTTCTCTGGGAATAGATGGTAGCACAACAGTTCTTCTCCTTGCACGGTAGTTCTGTGAAAAGCATGTGAATATGTAGAAGGAAAGACTGAACCATAAGGCACTGAGAAGTGTTTGTGTAAAATATTCCAGCTGTGGAAGCAAGGTGTTGGCACTGGATCACGATGTGCCCTGCCAGTCACTTTTATCATTTCCCCTTATTCGGGAACGTCAAGAATAGTGAGTACTGGGTTCTCCTCCCGTGCTAGCAGGGAAGCCTGCGGTGCAGCTGCAAGACAGCACACACATGCTCAAAGCAAAAAGATGTTTTTTTCATGGTGCTGTATAACCCCAGTTAACTGTTCACCAGGGAACAGCAATCGTGCGGAGTTTCAAGTTTATCCTACACCAGTTTAGAAAGAGAGGGCAAGTTACAGCCTTTTTATTCAGGTTGTCACCCATCCCGAGCAGTTCTCAAAATTCCTTGAATGCAGAAATGAAAAGCCAGTGATGGGAAACAGATGTTGGTACACACTTGATGAAAATGCTCCAAGGAGTTTCTTTTTGTGTTGTAAAAAAACAAAATGTGGTAGCTAATGTGATAAATGGACTCCTTTCTGGTTTTAGGGACTTCCTCCCAAACCACTGGAGATTTATTTGGGAAGACGAGAAAAGAGTTGGTGGTTTTGATTTAGATTAAATTTTAACCTAAATTACTTGTGCATAATTCTTAGCCGCACTCCCAACTCCTGCAAATTTCATACAAGGAGAGTGAGGAGAGAGAAGAGGTTTTGCAGGTAGGGAATGTGCAGGAGAGAGAAGTTGCTGGATCCTGGAGAGCCACGGACCATCCTCCCAATGCTCTGAAGTATCCCTGTTATTCCGCTGTTCATATTGGATAGATGGAGACCGGCAGAGTTCCAGTTGTCCCTCTGAAAGAAGGGGCTGATAAAAGATAATGTAGATTTACCTGTGGAGCTTTCGTAGTGAGAATTAAGGTCTCTGGAGATCCTGGAGAGTAAGTAATTGAAATTTTAAACCAGCTCTAAAGCCTGAAAGCTCTGCAGTCTTCTTGTTATTTCTTTTATCATCCTGTACCATCATCTTGGTGGCAACTTAAATATTATTCATTCATAATGTGTCATTTGCATGAAGCAAAGAATACAAGATTATTTTCCTACCTTGAATTTGCATTAGGGTGGAATTGAAACTGGATCCATTTGGAGCTCCTTTAGGATACCCTTTGGAAAAAGCTAACATGCTGTAGAGGGGGACGAGGGGGCTCCTGGACTGGTTCTGCAAAGCCTCTCCCCTCCTTCGCTGCAAGGTTGACGTCCTTGCTGAAAGCTGAATTCCTAGCTGGAATTGCAGAGCTGCCGGCTCTCTTGGTGGGAGCAGGTCCTGAGCTCCGCTGCGTGCAGTGGAAACCCTTTAGAAAATTAAGACATGAAAGGTCAAGGCTCATGAGTGACACTTGAAAACATGCAACCTCCGCTCCCCATGTGCATTTTCATAGCTCATTTCCATTATTCTTAGACTAACTAGTGAATATTTAGTAAGTCACTTCATTTTGCTGAAGAATCTCATCCTTTTTCGCCTACAGAAGGTCCCAATATTAAATTTGCCTGTGTTGTAGTCAGATGCTTGCGCTATTTATCACAAACCAAGCAACTTCAAGGAAAACAATTTCTGTTATCCAAATGGCTATAGGGTTATTTTGAGGGAAAACAACTGTATCCTGCCATAGTTTAGCTAACATTTTACTTTCCCTTGAGGATTTCCTGTTGGCTGGGGCCCAGTGTTAATTATGTTTTGTTTTGTTTTTTCTATAAAACAAACTGCTAATGTGTCTGTATTTATTACTCACTGTGATCTTCTTGTTTCTTGCAATTCGGAGTGTTTAAAAATGGCAATATTAAAACCTCACTGCCCTGCCAAAGAGCCGCTTAATAGAGTTTACTCTGTTTAAAACCAACATTCATCCAGATCTTTTTTTAAAAAACAAACAAAACAACACGGAGCTTTTTCTCAGGAACATCTAGCTACATGCTTTTTTTTTTCCATTAAAAAAAAATCACATTGTTATCCTTCCAAACAGTGATTTAAAGAAATTTTCAGGTTTCCTGCATTCACTCAACCTTCTGTAATATAGTTTGCAAACTTCCATTGTTGGGAGCTGCATAGGACGGGAAAGCATTGCGTATCCCGGGGCAAGCTCTTTGCACTGCGCTCTCTGATAGTTCACCTGTGTGTGAAAAATCCTACAAGGTTATTCTAAAAATCAAGGATAAATGTTAAAAGAAAAAGAATGCATTAGCAGAATGCAAAGGAAATGCATTTCCTGCTACCTGCAGCATTTTGCAACATCCATTTGCAAATGCAGCCTTGTGCGTCCCTTCAGGTTTCTAAAATGGAGCAGTCATGTAGAGTCACAGAAAGGTGGCAAAGAAGTAATAACATCAAGGAAGCAGGTGCCTCTTGACAGGAAAAACAGATTCGTAATTGACAAATATGCTGGAATTTGCTAGAGTTGTGGTTAATTTTTGCAGTATATAAACTATTTCTGCAGCAGCCTTCCGCTTTTATTAACTAATTTTCTGAATTGAATTCAGTCTGTCAAGATTCTTTTAAAAATGTTAATTTTAATTTTTTTTTTTGTAGTTACAAGTGTTATCTTAGCAAAGACTATCTCATTATTTGTAATTCCGTAATATTTACTGTTCAGTACACTTAAGGCAAAAATAACCTGGCATTGCACATCTGTGTTCTTTAATCAATGTTATTGAATTTACAGGAACAAATGGTCCAATTCCTTCCATTCTTTTAATTCCACAAACTAGTACACTTTATCACTTCAGTGTATGAATTGTGTTCTGAGGTTGGTTTTATGGGTACTTCTAGTTTCCCATGTAGTTTGCGTGAATGCAGGGAAATGCTGCTATTCTGCCCTCTCTGCCTTTGCATCTAGTTGGCCCTTCAGAGATGCTTTGCTTATTTGCTTCATTTGTGTGCAGCTAATCCCTTTCAGATGCTGTGTAATTAAAATAAATCCATGCAGTTGTCCGACAAGGTTTTCTTCTGAGTAGTGAGAAAGAAATTCCAATAAAGTGCAGCTTAAATTAGTTCTCTTGAAGATGCAAGGAACAATCTTAAACAAGGATTTTAGGATTTTCTTCCACTGTGTGCCAAGTAGTATCCTGAATATTTTTGGCTGTACATTGACTGCAGCTTCCATAACATAATTTCTGTTGAATTCACCAAGTCCTGCAATGACTTCCAGTGAAAATAAGCACTTGCTTGAAGAAACACTGTTGCTTAGGCCATGTGCTTAAGTGATTCCTTGTCACTGTCTACCTTCTTTGGGTATCTGCTTCTGTAGATATGAGGGAAACATAAGAAATTTGTTTTCTTGCTGTTATGTATGACTTGTTTTATGCATATGACATGTATATATGCATATGTATAAATTTATAATATACACACATTCATATATATTATATTTTTACATATTTACATATGTTATTTAATTCACATAGTATGTTGTGTTGTTTAAATATATTATGTTTCTATATATATACTTTGTATAAATGTATCCATTTATATGGATTTTTGTGCGCATATACCTATGTGTCTTTTAATGTACATGGTATAAATATACATTTGTATGCATCTTTAAAAGTACTTTGAAATCATGTACGATCCAAATTGGTCTTTCCGAAAAATGTACTAAAACAAAGAGGTCTTTCATGAAGGTAGGAAGCTGTCCTAGCTACACATTGTTCTGGGGAGAAAAAAAATCTTTGAAAAGATTTTTAAAAAGAAAAAAATGATCTCAAGTGTTTGTTCAACAAAAACGCTGAACTCATAGGAAAAAAATAGAGGTAATTGTAATTTAAAATCTGGTTCAAGCATTTTCTGTGTCACACCATGTTGCTCTTAATAGGTCAGAATCTGCATGACTGGGCTTGGTATATTCAGCGTCAGAAATAAAACCACTGCCGTGTGGATTTGAGTGCATTAGATTCAAGTCAGGCTAAGCACAGTTCTTTACAGTAGCTTACACCTTTTCATGAATTAAAATGCTGCCTGGTTGAATGGCAGTGACTTCTATGTATATTCCTCATATTTGTGCTATAGGTTCTGAGTTGCAACTTTTGGAGTCAAATCCAGTCACATCCGGTTGGTCTGGAAAAGCCATATGGATTATAATGTAGAGCTTCAGCGTGAAGGGGTATGTAGGGAGCAGCCTCATACCTAACACTCAACCATGAGCCTTTAATAAAAGGTGTAAGCACTAACTTCAACATATATAATCTGCGACTGCTTAAGGTGGTAACACAGATCACAGAATTACAGAAGGTTCAAAGTCGGAAGGGACCTCTAGAGATCATTTAGTCCAACCTTCCTGCTCCAGCAGGGACACCCAGAGCACGGGGCACAGGGCGGCATTCAGATGGGTTTTGAAGACCTCCAGAGAAGGAGACTCCACAACCTGCCTGGGCAGCCTGTGCCAGGGCTCTGGCACCCTCCCAGGAAAGAAGTTCCTCCTCCCCTGGAGTGGAACTTGCTGTGATACCTTCCTACGAGATCCAGTGCTTGCCCAGCAGCCTGCCACCTCCTGCCTATGTTGAAAAATGATCTGTGTCCTTGTACTGCTGTCGATCAAGAAGCAGGCTTTTGAGCCAAGTGGTGGCCAAAGAAAACTTTCCCCTTTTCCTTGTTTCAGCAGGCTGGGGTGAAATGCCTACTGTCCACACGAAGGCCGAAGCTTCTTGGGGAGAGCCGGCCTCCCCCTCCGCTGCGGTTGATAATGGCACTTCGGCGTGGGGCAAGCCCCCCAGCAGTGGTACCGGGTGGGGAGAGAATCCTGCCGAGCCGGCGGGGACGTACGGAAGAACAAGCGCTCCAGCTGCTGCCCCAGCACTGTGCAAACCAGGTAACCACGCTCCGAGAAGAGCTCGGGGAAATGGGGCAGCCGTACGTGCCTTGCCTTCCACTTGTATTCCCCCAAAGCATTTTTTTTCTGTGCATTTAAATCAAAGGCTGTGTTAATAATTTTGTTTTCCAGAAGTCCAGAAGCTGTCGCAAAGCTTTAACATTCCAGTTACCAAATTCTCTCCCATGATAGCACGTTTAAAAATAGAAATACAGTGAATTTCCCCAGAAGATTTAATTATGCTCCCTGTAAGGTTTTCTGTTGTTGTTTGTGTGTGTACTTTGAAAGCAGTACCTTATAAATGCAAAGATATGGGAAAATAATGCAGAAAAATGAACAGCACTTATCCCTAGATCTTTAAAAGAAACCAGTATCGGGATGAGGAACAACTGAACTGGGTCAGGCTAGGATTGATTTTGGTAGGAAAAGAAACACCTGAGAGGGACGTGTCAAAACGTCACTGTTCTGTGAAGGTGAGGGAAGTGGATGTCCTGTTCATCTCTCAAAACTGTTCACAGCTTCAGGAACATGCTGAGCTACTTATTGCTTTGAAACTCTTAACTTATAAAATCCTTCCTTCTTTCAATACCCTGTAGGCTGCACTGGTTTTTAGCAGTTTCTTTGGGCTGTGGTGGTCTTCAGAGTCCTTTGCTTGTGTAAAATATGATACTGAGAGAGAATTGCGAGGTCCCAGAAACCTAAAGAGAGAGGATGGGAGGTCTTAAAATGTTTTGAGCTGAAGAAGAGGCCTTTGAGCTGAAGAAGAGGCACCTCATTGTCATCAGTTAATGTAAAGTGTTTGTGTTAGCCCTCTTCAGTCCCCGGTCTTCTGAGGTCTGAATGAGTTGGCTTCTGGCAGATGGTAGCCTTGAAATTCGGTTTTGCTCATCAGAAAAAAATGGCAGCTAAAATGGTGGGATTTGTGGAAAAAATTGTGCAGCAAAATTGTGTCGTCAGTACGTGGTCCTACTTCTGGTGCCTTGTCCCTCAGGATGCTTGAGTCATCCTACTCAGGAGAGAAAAGACTTGCTGTTACTGGATTTTTTTTCTTTTATGACAGGTTTTAGAGTATGTTTCTGTTTTTCTGGCTTCAAGGAAGGAGTCCTTGTAGTTTGATGCCCAATAAGCTCATTTTTGAACCTTTGGATCTCTTGAAAATACTTAGATGTTCATGTAGGGCTTGAAGGGATGTTACTGTAAAATTTGCACCAGGTGGAGTGATCTGCTTTTCTTTTCCCTCTCTCCACTCCCTTCAGCTTCAAAATCTATGCAAGAAGGCTGGGGCAGTGGTGGGGATGAAGTGAATCTCAGTACTAGTCAGTGGGAAGATGAAGAAGGAGATATGTGGAATAATACTGCCTCTCAAGAGAGCAGCTCCTCCTGTAATTCCTGGGGGAATGCCCCGAAGAAAGGACTTCAAAAGGTGGGTCAAAAACAAGGAGAGTCTCTGAAACTTCACAGAATTGCAATAGAGCATTTCTAACATCAGTTGTTGCGTGTATTCCTCCTAACATTAATACTTTGGATTCAATGGAAATTATTCCCTCGGGAATGGTGAAAATGTACCTGGTGATAGTGGGAAGGGGATTTAAGTACCATTCTGCTTACAAATGAAGTAAAAGCCTCTACTTGTAAGGACCAACATGCGCTGTTCTCCTGAAGTCTTTCACTTTTTGCTTGTTTTGGGGGATTCCTTGTCTCTCTTTTTGTTTTCGGTAGATTTTATAAACCTCAGTGTGTTCTGGGGAAATAATAGCATGTTAGCAAAGCAAATGGAAAAATCATAAGGAGGACTTTGAAACGTTTTCCGTGGTGCCAGAAAGCCAAACTGTGGTCTGTGGTGAAGTGGTCCATCAAAAACTATTTTCTCCTTACAAAAGAGAAATCGATAATTCTGTGGTGTTGTACTGTTAAGAGAACAAAAGTAGATTTGTATTAATGCCACATGCAACAGAGGACATGTGCAGTTAGGTTAGGATGTTTTCCATTGCCCAGAGGTTTTATGTGAGGAAAAAGCCAGCCCGCAAATCAAGGGAGCTAGGATTACATGTAGCCAGTTAGTTTGTTGTTCCCTTAGCCGCCGTAATTAGCCGGTGATTTGAGGTAGTATGGCTGTTTTTTCCCAATGGCCACATCCCAAAACAAGTGGGCGTTTGTCTCTTGGTAATTTCTGAAGAACTGAACTGAAAAGTACTCCTAGAGGATTTTACAAGAGAAAAGCTACAAGAGCTCTTTGAAAGTCTAAGCATTCTTGTCTGTTTTTTAAAAAATACCCTGGGCATTATGTTTATCCATTATGCCCATGGGAATGTTATGGGCGTAACATTCTTACCTTCCAGGTTGCAAAGTCGTTTTGGGGGAATGTTTTTCAGGAACTTTATGCTATTTCAGATTTTTTTTTTTTTTTTTTTCATCGTGCTCTTCAGTCAAGAGGAAAGATGAAAAATTTAAAGGTAGCTTTAATTCAGTGGTCAGCAAATCAAATAGAGCCATTCGACTGAGAGGAAATATTTATGTTTTGTGGGGGGAAGAGAATCTTAGCTATTTTGTTTGTAGGCTTCCTGTGTATGTTATAAATATCTGTACTAACAGTGCTTACAGTAGCATGTATTATTGAGAGGGAAAACTAGTCATATATTTGATCTGTATGCCATTAGCATGCTTATAGAAAATAGGCTATTAATGACATTTCCTGCTCACTTAACTCAGGGCATGAAGACATCTAGCAAGCAAGATGAGGCCTGGATCATGAACCGTCTGATAAAACAGCTCACAGACATGGGCTTCCCTGTGAGTAGTGTTCACGTTTCAGCATCTCCATGGCTCAGCTTCTGTAGCGTGCAGTTCTTTTTCTGATGGTTCCGGCTGTAGCTACAAAAAGAGAATTAGTCTTCCTCTTCTCAGGGAATTAGTTCTCTTATCTGCCTTTAGACATTTTCCCTAATTTCAGAAATTTACTGTAAATTAATAGATTGCTCTTTGAGATTGCTTGCTCATAGAGTCAACTTGATGATATCTGTAGAACTTCTGAAGTTCTGAGTTTTGCAACAACAGACTTTTGAACGTCAGTAATAATTCATAGTAAATCATAGTTACTTTTTTTTTTAACTTAATCCATATTGTTAACAGAGAGAGCCAGCGGAAGAGGCCTTGAAGAGCAACAATATGAATCTCGATCAGGCCATGAGTAAGTAGCTGTGTAACTAGATTTTTTTTTCTCTTTAAAAAATGCAACTTAATGATTCTGGAGTTTGATCTTTTCCAGCTTAATTGGATAACTTTTTTTTTTTTCTTAAGATTATTTGGGCTTTTTTAATGCAAGGCAATGTGGGTTTCAATCAAGATGGGCAGAGGTGTGAAGGGTTTAGTGCTTCCAAAGGCAAAATGTATAGTTTTCCGTTATAACGGGAGTGATTTGCAACAGATTTAGGAGTAGCTTCTAGAGTGTTTTGGTTTTCAGAGTCTTGGCAGCTCCAGTCTCTTGGCATCACCTTTGTTTTTCCATGTCTTGAAAATACGTCCTTGCTCTGTGTGAAGGTGCTCTGCTGGAAAAGAAGGTGGAAATGGACAAGCGTGGAATGGGGGTGACCGACTACAATGGAATGGTCACCAAATCCCTCGGCTGCCGCCCACCACCAATCTCCAAAGAGTCTTCCATGGACCGCCCCACTTTCCTTGACAAGGTAAGCTGAGAAATATGGATAACATGATAAAAATGGGTATGATTGACAAGTCAAAATTGGGCATGATGTAGAAATACTGATCATTTCCATGGTCTGCTTAGAAAGCTCAGTGACCAGTTTTCCAGGACCAGGTAATGACAGAGTAGAAGGCTACAGAAATCCGTGGTATCCAAGAAACAGCGTGTCTAAAGAAAAGGAGGAGGGGAACAGTGCAGCCAGGTCTGCAGCAGAAGGTGCAGTTCACAGCTTGAGGCAAAGTCCTAGACACGGACCCACCAAAGCACCTCATAATCCCCTGGAAAATGATTAATAGAGGAAGGGCAGTCTGCAGTGCCGTTCTTTTTTTTCATGGATTATTTGAAGTGGCAGGAAAGACAGTGAATGAATTTGGGCTTTTTTTTTCCTGAATGTAGAAGGCGGTACCTTATACAAACTGCACTGAAGCCAATTAATTTTATGTGGGCTGTTCACAGGATGTGAGGTAGTAAAGACATCTAATCTTGTTAGCACAGATTATATTAAAAGTTTCATGGACCCTGAATAATGATGATTTTCATGGTCCTCCACCTTATGCTTTCCCTTGTGATCTGAACTAAAGTGATGTCTTTTAAATTACGGTCCTAGGTGTGATAGGTTCCCAGGTACTGTGGTCAGAAAATCAGAGTGGCTCTTCAGATGCAGGTGTTAAGAGTAGAACAACTGATAAACACTGACCTTTTAATGGCAGCCGTTACTGTTGCTGCTGTATTTGCAGGCTAAACAGTTAACCATATGTTTGTTCTGGTGCAATGCAGACTGTAAGCAAGTTGATTTAAAAACAAGTGTATGATACAGCTTATTTACATTAATAAGGGAAAAATGAGTGCATTTATAAGATTTCCATGAGAGGGTCCTTGCATAGCAAAAGTTGTGATAGTTCAAATGCTGTCACAAGTGCTTGTTAGCATAGTATCATGGTAGTTTCCTCTATTAATGAATTCATTAGAAATATGCTTTTCCATTTATGAAGGGAATAATACTTTGTTCCTCAGGGCTACCTACTCACATTACAGTGGTATGGTAGCTTTTATGTTGTCCTTCCTTAAACCAGACTGAGCAGATTGTATTATTTTCAGCATTATCAAACTCAGCCCAGCTCTTCTTTCTGCTTTTTCTCTTCCTGCCACTCTAAAGTTCATCATTTATTCTTAATTGTGGCAAATCTATTTGTCTGTGGTGAATCTGAATGAATATGTTAACTGAAGGATCCTTCTCTTGATGAAGGGCACAAAATTAGTGCGTGTGTGCCAATTAACCTTCTCTTTCCTAGTTTAACAGTATCTTGAATAGTAACATTATTGCCAGAGAGAGAGGTTCATTATATGCCGCATAACGCATAATTATGGAAACATATGTTAAACACAAGTATTGAAAAGGGAGTACTAAAATCATTCATATTCATACAGCTAGTAAAATCTGTCATTCTAGGCATGATCTGTCACGATGGCTTGCTTATAATGAAGGAAATAATTGTGATTCCAAACTGTACTTGTTGCCACAGTGCTGAGCAAGTTGCTGAAGTGGATGAAACAAATGTAGTCTCTAAGAATAGGGTAGATTTTTCCAAAGATACTCTTTCCATATTTACATCTCCTGGTGCTGGAGCAGCTCCTCTTCAAAACATTCTTTTTTTGCCCTTTTGAGGCCCTATTTCAGAGCATGAAGGTGGAGCTGCCTCTTTCCCCAATTAGGTCATCCCTCTCTGCCACAGCTGCACGAAGCATCTGAGCCAAAATTCCTGATTTTACCTGTTCTCTTAGGAAGTCACTGCCCTTTTATTTGGCCTTGCCAAGTCTCCAGTAAGTTATGTAAGATTTCTGTTGCTGGTGAACTTGAAAACTGTGCTGATGGGCTCAGTGCTCCTGCTCTCCCAGCTGATTTTTTGAGCTCCCTTAAGTCTCAGTGCTGCTTCCACTGCATTTGCTTTGAAAGATAAAGTCAGCACTCACTTATTCAGATGAAGAAGTCGCCCAGATTGGTCTGTGCAACTAAACATCTCCTTTGAATTTCTGCCCTGACTTGTTCCTCCGAGCTTTGCCACACATGCTCTTTACTCTGCTTTGTTAATTGTATTATTTTTTTCAGGATATTATTTTGCCATGTAGCACCATGAAAGGAGAAGGGAGAAAGCCCAGTGGCTTGAAGAAAATAAGATCCAGCATAGCAGTGCCATGCTAATATACCATGATCTCAGCCACTTTATCTTTTACTAGGAGATGAGTAATTAGGTATCAAGTTTGCTTAAAGATGATACCTGATGTCTTCTGGAGCCATCACATCTGTAAAAACAAGCAGAAAAGAAAAAAGAAAAAAAAATTCCTGGTAGTCCAGAGTGTTTCAGAGGATCTTTGTATGACGCGTAGGCGCTTAAGTTGCATCTCCCTCCAGTGTGTTAGGACTCAACTTGCATGTGTGTTCTCATTGTAGCTATTGAGTGATGTTTCTTCTGACATGAGAAGAAACTCAGGTCTTCTTCAAGAAGAAACTTGTGGTTGGCAATGATCGGAACTGGCCCACTCTTCTACTGAAAATCCTGAACCATAATGAGGTTTCATTTAATGTTTTTTTAGCACAGTTAGATGCACCTGCTGTGTTCTAGACCATTGAGAAGATGTGTTATGTTTATCAAGGTGACAAAAGCAGAGCAGAGTGCTTTTTGTGCTTTCTTCTGTGTTGCTAGCTTTGAATCTTGTCTTAACCTTTGCCTTTATTCCAGACTGTTTTCCAAATTCTGAGAAATAGAGGAGTCTGTATGAAATACTCCCCTTACGAATGAAGTCTCTTTTTCAATATTATCTTATTTGCTGACGAGCTTTTCTTCCCCCTTGATGAGAAATCCAGGCCTACAAGTGTTGACTGCAGTCGGGCTCTTCCACAGAAGTTCTTTCTAGCTGACTAGACTATTTCTTCTTTTTAATACAAATACTATGGGGATTCTTTCAACCTTCTCCTTCCCAGTTGTCCCTAGTGAGTGTGAGAGCTTCTTCTCTTTGAGAAACTGAATGGGATATTTTATCATTTCATCGTCTTTCTAGTTCTTCTATTACCAAAAATAAAAATACTGATGATAAACCCATTTCTGGATATTGAAACTCTTGCAGTTTTCTTACACCCATACCTACCTGCTGTCAGGTTTGAAGGAATCCTGTTTTGTGGTGAAATTTCATCTCTTTAGCTTCCTTCTTTGCAAGACGATTTTGTTTCTGTTTTTAAGAAGTTACTTGTTTTTCTGCTGCTTTTGTAGCTGACTTTATGTGAAGCCCTTTGGCACATTCTGCAGTCTGGCGTCCATCTGTTCAGCTGTTTTGATTCATGAAGTGGCAGTTGTTGGCAAGGAACTGCCAGAATGTTCAGGAATCCTGTGCTAAATTGTCCATATCTCACAGAGATCCAAACCATCGAGTGGTGCTGCTTGCAGTCTGTGATACTCAGTATATAGGGCTCTTGTAAGATACTTCCCAAAGCCTTCCAAATAATGCATCATTAAGCCTATTATTGTGCTTCGCATTGGATCAGTGTAGAGGAAATGTTACCATTGCAGGATTTTACATGAAATCTTTTCAAAAAAATAAGTCTTGTGCTGCATACCGCGTGATTTGTACTATTAAAGAATAAAAGAAACTGAAAAAATAACTAGAGGTGATTGTCATTTGGTCTAGGCTGAGAATGGTGAGTCCTACTTGTTGACAGACTAAAATGCTAAAGAAATGAAGCAGTTTGGGTTCTGTTTGTAAGAGTGCAGGTTGGTGCACAGCCAGCACCCTTACAAAAAAATTCACGGGGCAAAATTAAAACCAAGCGAAAGGGTGGCAGTTAGAGGGAAGGATCATATTGTAAACACATGTCCGTGATGCAAGGAGAAATCCTTGAACCTGTTCCTGTCATGCAAGCTGCAGTTGTTTGTAGCGTGTGACTGCTGCCCAGCAGCATGTCAGACATGCCGAGCTGCAAGACCTTGGGGGTGTCATTAGAAAATGTCAGTGTCCGGCTCAGGAGAGCTGGGTGCCACCCCAGGTGCTGCAGCGCCTGCTCATAACGAAACTTTTGCTCTGCATTAAAGGGTAGCCATCATTTATGTGTTTTTTTCAGGGTTAACTCCGAATTCAACATTTACTTAGTACATTAGGTCATTTGTTTGGGTATCTGGTTAGAGGAGAGATCTGCTTTTTTTAACAGAAGATGTTTTTTAGTATCTCACGGTCTGCTGAGAGTTTGGGCTTATCAGTCGAAATAACCTCACTCCTCAGCTATAAAAAACCCTTTCTTTGGCAGCAAAGATGCTGCCTTAAAAATATCTCGTCTGGCAGGAGGCAAATTAAGGATTTTTTTTTCGCCCTGCATAGTTTTGGCGCTGTACTCGCCGCGTGGTGATACTTGATCCTGCCTGCTGCAGCCCTGTCTGACACAGAGTCAGTGCCTCCCTGTAATAAGACCTGGATTTGTACCTCTTGGGCCGGGGTTACGTGGTTTGTTTTACTTTCTGACTCGCTGTTTGACGGGGCTGCCATCTGCACCATGTCCTCGTTCAGTGGTTGATGACCAGGGGGACTCCTAAGCTCTTGCTGTAATCTAGGCTTTCCCTAGGGCAGGGGGAGATGTTAGGGGGAGGATGAGGCAGTGACTCAACACCCTTTTTAAAAAGACTGTACAGACAATGTAATAATTGCTGCTTTTAAATGATTTTATGCCATTGGAGAGGAGCATTTTGGAGTGGGTGTCAGTCGGGGCTGCATGAGTATTCCCAGACCTCCTGGGCAATGAGAATTCCCAGACTTCCTGGGCATGTGCGGGGCCTCTTCCCTCTGCACCCTCCAGAGCGGTGGTGCGGAGGGGCCCGTGGGAGGAGGTGCTGGCGGCTCTAGGCCCAGCTTTGCCCTGCTCCCCTTGCACCAGCAGCCCCAGCCTGGCACCTAGGGTCGCTCCCACCCGCGGGAGCGCCGGCCCGGGGGCTCCGCGCGCTTGTGCATGTAGCTGCGGCAACGTGGAGAAAAACAGTACCTTAACCCTGTTTCTCTTTTTTCTTCTTCCTTCACCCCATACTTTTTCATTCCTTATTATTCATACTTCTTTTTTTTTTCTTCTTTTCTTTTTCTTCTTTTTTTAAACCTTTTTTCAAATCTTTTTGCTCATCCACGCCTTCCTATATTTCCATGGGAACCTGTTCTGTGCGCTGCCCGCTGCTGGGTGCCGCGCGCAGCTCACCCTTTGTTTCTCCAATCAGGATGGCGGCCTAGTGGAAGAGCCCACTACTTCACCATTTTTGCCTTCACCAAGCCTGAAGCTCCCCCTTTCAAACAGTGCACTCCCTAATCAGACCCTGGGCGGGATTGCCTCAGGGCTGGGCATGCAAAACTTGAATTCTTCTAGACAGGTAAGGCCACTTGCAGAGACCACAACTCACCTTCCCGCTCCTTCCGTCCCCCTTTGGAAGCACTGGCTCCAAGTGGAAACGAGGACTCAATCTATGTGCACGGAGTGGGGATAAAACAGCAGAGAAACAACCTGCTGCATAAACATTTTTGCTTTATGGGATGTAAAACAAGTGCTTGGGTGTAATTAGCCTCCTCATTACATGCAGCCATTGAGAAGAGACTCTGGTGTTATGGATTTACGCTAGTGAGCTGTACAGCCCTGCCGTGATTGATGGAGCTCTCTGTTTCGGAGGCGTTGCTGCTTGTCACGGGGTGGCTGCAGTTCCTCTCTCCTGGCTGGCGTGGTTATTCAGCGACGAGATGGCTGAGGAGCCATGGGGCTTTTTGTTCCTGTCGTAACTGTCAAGGCAGCTCGTTGCTTTGACAGGTGGAAGAAAGCAACTGCTGGCCACCTAAAGTGCTGTGACAGGAGGGATGCTCAGTCCCCACGACAGGGCACACGGAAAGGGACTGAGAGGGGAAAGGAGATGGAAGGGGAGATTGCTAAACACTCCGAGATGGAGACTGATATATAAATACCAAGAGGTCCTAAACTCAAGAAAGGTCACTTTTGTCATAAAATCCAAGGACCTGCTAAGATAGGAAAAAGCAACCCAGAACAAACAAAACATGAATGACACGAAACAACTGTGTCGTTCTGCTGTGGCCTTTGTTACCTATATTCTATTCAGGTTAATTCATATTTAAACGTAGTAAAGTGCTTAGAACCGTGTTTCCTGAGGTAATGCTTGTGCAGCACTTGCAACCCATTAAACCTATCTTTGAGAAGCAGGGACAGCACTAATATTATGCCCATCATCAGTGGCCTTGGAAAATGACTGTGTACAAGAACAGCCTAGATAATTTAGCATTTAAGATGCTGAGAGCTTAATAATTGCACTCCCCTATCCCTTCCCACGTCAGAACAAAGACATTTGGCGAGTGCTTCTTCTTGTTCCTCTCCTGGCCCTCTGAGGTTGTTCCTGATACAATGGATATCCTGCCTTCTGCGCAGACACCATGCAAAGCTTTGGCAGGTTTGGGCTGCTGTGGAATTAGGGTGATCTTTGGCACGCCTCATTCTAAACCTGATAGTCCAGAAAGCTGCATCTATCACTTTCTTTATTCATGCCTGCCATTTGCATTGAGGATGAAGGCTGTGCAGACGAGTAATGTCCAGGCGGTGTTGGGCGGTGCATTTAAATGCCAGTGTCTCTCCTGTCCTTTGCAGATACCGAGTGGCAATCTGGGTATGTTTGGCAATAGCGGAGCAGCACAAGCCAGGACCATGCAACAGCCGCAGCAACCGCCAGTGCAACCTCTTAATTCATCCCAGCCTAGTCTTCGTGCTCAAGTGCCTCAGTTTCTATCCCCTCAGGTTAGATGAAATTTCTTCTTCCCTATTTTCTTTTTCCCAGAGTTTTCCTATATGCTTTCTCTTCTCCATTTTGATTCTCTCGTGCTCTTGATTCTGCTGTTTCCTTGCAATTCCTGTGTTGATTTACTAGCCCATGAGCATTGCTAGGTTCTCGTATTTTGTCAATTTGTGCAGATTCTTTCCTTCCTTTTTTTGCATGAGCAGTATTTTTAGATAGCCGAGGGGTTTGTTCTCTGCTTTTTTTTTTCTGTAATGGACATTTGGCTGCTGTTACTAAGATTTGTATTTTAGCCTCCTGTTATTTTTTGATGGTTCATGTGCAAACTCTGAGAATAGTCGTGTTATTCAGCCCATGTCTTGTGACTCTTTATTTATGGTTTACACTGTTGTCACTGTTAGCAGCGAATAGGCAGTATTTAATGCACCTCTCTTTCCCAGGTTCAAGCACAGCTTTTGCAGTTTGCAGCAAAAAACATTGGTCTCAACCCTGCACTATTAACCTCGCCAATTAATCCTCAGCATATGACGATGTTGAACCAGCTCTATCAGCTACAGCTGGTGAGTTAAAAGACGTGGTAAATAAGCTCTGAATGAGAACTGGAGGCATGGAGATAACATAGGAGAAATGCTAACTAAACTCATAAATGGGAGTGACGTACCTTTGAAACAAGTCAGATGGTGTTTTGTTTGGTAGAGTCTTTTTAAAGAAACGAAACCATGTTTTGTACCTCAGGCTTTATAAATAAGCGTTTGTAGAATAATTAATCCTTTCAAACTAATAAGTGAAATGTGAAGTGAGTTGTAGTCACGCTGGTGTGAGTAAGACAGCATATCTTTGAAACAGCTTTAATGTGTGTATTAAATGCCAGCATATCTAACTGATTGACCAACTGTGAAACTGCTGTGTATCTGTCACAGCATAAGGCGAGAAATTTTGGCAGTTTTAGTTACCTGAAGAACTTCATTCAGCTGCCTTAATAAATAATAAAGCGTGGGATAAATTTCTTGTAATGATGGCATCACATCATATGCTAAGAACAACTTGTTTTTGAAGGGCTGTGTACTGCTGCTACATTTAAAAGTAAAATGATTGATAAATACATATTCAGGTTTTTTTTAACCAAAACTGATATATCTTGCTAATTGTATGTCAGTATTTTCTAAGGTTCAATGTGAGGCTATCGTGTGTGACAAACTACCTCAGTAGCTAATGTCATGTGATAGTTGTTGAAACCTTGTGTTCGTGTTTGTTACCACTGTTCAATTTTGATCTGCTTTCCCAATTTTGAGGAGAACAGAGTTGGTCTCATACCATGGTGATAATTTGGCAGCACACAGCTATTTGAAAAATACCTATGCAGGACTCAATTTGCATTTTAAATTCAAGTGATCCTGAGAAAGAATACGTTGAAAAAAGACTTTACAACCCAATTAACCCATTAATACTGTGAATTTTTTTTGGTATAAGGAAACATTTAATGTAAACAAGCTTATGATTAGTGCTGTATGGTTTAATCTTGATTTTAACAGATTAAATGCAATGTTCTGTCAGAACTAATAGTTGTAACTCAGCAGTAATTTCATTCTTGTGTCTGATTTTGGACAAAAATCTCTGCACTTAAATATATTTTAAAATACATTTATTACAAGATTGTTGCTTTTGCTTCATGAACAGTTTTCAGGAAACTCCCGGAGTTGGGTCTTTTTTTATAATTTACAAGAGCAGTGTCAGGCAGGCGTGTCAGGCTTGTTGTATATGGCCAGACCTCTGACCTCTCATTCCCATCCTGTAGGCGTACCAACGTTTACAAATCCAGCAGCAGATGTTACAGGCTCAGCGTAATGTTTCCGGACCCATGAGACAACAGGAGCAGCAAGTAGGTTTAACAGCTAACTTAATTTCACCATTAGAGTTTGATTTCAGTAGCAGCAAGAGATTGTACTGTGTTGCACCATACCAGCTAAAGTATCCTTCGAAACAATTACATAGAGCCTGATTTGAATGATAAAAAGGAAAGAATACTAGAATAATAATGCTGCCTCACAGCATTCAGCTATTGGATGGAAGCCATTCAATTCTCAATTCAGTCGAATTTTACTTGTTAAGAGAGATCTGTTGTGTTATTTCAATGCAAAAAAAGTGGCACAAGAAGTCCAGTGTCCCTTTGTTCCCTGTGCATTTATTCGTTCTTTCTCTTTTGTTGCCAGGTTGCACGTACAATCAATAACATGCAGCAGCAGATCCAGCAGCACCAGCGCCAGCTGGCCCAGGCCCTGCTTATGAAGCAGCAGCCTCCCCCTCCACATCTATCTTTGCACCCCTCTGCAGGCAAATCAGCCATGGATAGCTTTTCACCCCATCCCCAGGCTCCCGGCCTACCTGACCTGCAGACCAAAGAGCAACAGTCTTCACCGAACACCTTTGCTCCTTACCCTCTTGGTGGGTGTCCTGCATGAAAGCCTTTCAGTGTTGAAAAGGCAAAGAGTTTGTATTTTGTTCTTTCAGTGTCCAGCTACTTTGGACATAAAAAGAAATTGGAAATTCAGAAGTCTTATTTAGTAAACAACATCAAAATTATTAAGTCATAGTGCATGTCTGCCTGCTAGCTATACAGGTGAGCCTTACTTGCTCATTTATACACTGCTTCTGAAGAAGGAAAATAGTGCAAGCGATTAGACATTTCAGAAACGTGACAGGTAACGAAAAATGGAACTCTTTGGTCACTGCAAGCTAAAGAGAAGGCTCTTGACGTGCACCAATCTTCAGAAACTTAAATAATAGCTTCAAAGAAATATTGCATGTCTACTGTGGCTGATGCAAGAGGTAATAATCTTTCCTTGTATCAAAAGAGATCTAGTTGAAGATCAAGGATCTCTTAATCTAAGGAAAGTACTGAAATAAATTGCCTAGGAGGGCTCTGAAGGTTTCATTACTGGTCATTTCTGGTAGATTAGAGATCGGTGAGATACGATTTCAAAATAATTGATCCAACTTTGAGACAGGTTGAACAGAGCAATTTGTTTCCTAGGGTTGTTTCGTGTATGCCAAAGACTTCCCTTATGACACAGGGAAATTCATGTAATCTCTTTGTGCCATTCTTTATGCTCTGTACAACAGAACTGCCAAGCTTTATCTGTCATGTAGCTAATAAAAAGGTAATTCTGACTGCTATGGGGAGCTGTTATAGCAGGAATGCCAAAAGGCAAAAGAATTTATGAATTAAGAGCCAACACTAAGAATTTCCTCTCATATTTCAGCTGTCTGTGATCTGCTAATGTTCACAATTACATATCTAAAAGAATCCAGGTTCATATCATGCAAACCTGTCAAAATTCTTCCCTAACTTACATGAATATAGAAATGAAATCCAAGTCTACATGATTTTATTCTCTATATTCAAATATATACCCAAGTAGTATAATGCCGACTCTGATGAATAATAGCTGATCTTCTGTATGACTGGTAAGTTACTCACTGTGAGGAGTTCTTAACACTGCTAAGAAGCTAAAATGATCTGCAAGATAAAGGTGTGCCAGGAGGACTTTAGCAACGCTTTAGTATTTGGTACAAAATGCTTCAAATTCTTCACTAGTTTAAACTTTGCATTCCAGTGTGTTCTTTCAGAATGCCTTTCTGGGACTGAAAGTAGAAACACTGGCAGCATTAAAATACGTTTGTATAGGTTTGGATTTTTCCTCTTAGCAGTGTCTTAAAAATTTCCAAATTTGCTGTAAATTGGTTTCCCCATAAAAGAAAAAATTCTGAAAACAGACTGAAAATGTAAATTGCTGTAAGTATGTAACTGTATTTGAAAATCATTGTTTAGTAATTCCTTTGACTGGATTTTTAAGCACAAAAATTTACCTTTTTGTAATCCACCAGTATATTGTGTATATCTAACGACCTCTTTCACCTTAGCTGGACTGAACCCGAACATGAATGTAAATAACATGGACATTACTGGTGGTTTGTCAGTGAAGGACACTTCTCAGTCCCAGTCTCGCCTTCCTCAGTGGACACACCCCAACTCAATGGATAATCTGTCCAGTGCTGCTTCTTCGCTTGACCAGAACTCCAGCAAGCACGGTATGGCACATTGAACCTGCGTGTCCATCGGGCTTTTTGAGACTTGGGTCACATTGGAATTGTACTTTTCTTTCCTTTCTTTTTTTCTTCTTTAAGACTTGATAAAGTATTGCTACAAAGCACCCTTTCAGGCTGTAATGTTTTAAAATGTTTTCTCTAGTCACACTCAACAGTAGGCAGAAAATCTTCAGTTTCTGCTACTACCTTTGTGTAAAATTCCTCTTTTTCTTTTTATTGGTGAATTTTATTGGTCAGAAAATGGGATTTCAAGCAAAGCGAACCGTTAGTGCTGGCGATATATGCAAACATCTTCCGTAAACTTCCCTTTACTCCAGGTCTGCGTATCTTTGTTCCAAAAATCATTACATTGGCGTTTTTGACGTCACCTTTTTTCTAATACATCTCAACCGAGACCTCATAAACCTTTCACAGCCAGTCAGGCATGAAGGCACAATGGATCATGTAATACATATAATACATATATGTGCATTGGGAAGTAGGGACACAGACTTCATAGTGTTCTAAAAGTAATTGCTAATCTGTTGTAGAATTCGTCTTTTTTTTTCCCATGGGATGAGCTGCTTTAAAAAGAAGAAAGAACACATGCACACACACACACAAAACTACCTGGATTCCAAAGAGTTACCTGACAGTTTAAAAAAGCTTTCAAAATATATGCTTTTAAATGCATCTGATACCTTTATCCCTATCAGTATCCAATATCCTGAGGCCTTTTTTCCCTAGTCCTTTTAGAACAGGATACTCCATGAACTTGACATTATCCTGTTTTTTATTACCAGCAGTACAAAGTATTTTACATAGCAGTGTTTTTTGGGTTTTTTTTTTTCTTGCAGTTGTACTGCTTATGCTAAATTACTGTTTGATATTTTGTAAGAAGCCAAGAACTGCCGATTCAAGTCAGCCACACAGCCAGTAATGAGTATCTAAGGAAGGATGAGCACAGGGCATTGCCTACAGTGATCTTTCTTAATATGCTGCCTCAGCAAATTTCTGTTTACAGACTTAGTAATGATTTGAATTACTTAGTGTCTGTTTGGCAGTGAGCTAATCTGAATTTCTTTAGCTAACCAGAAAGCCTAGATTAATGTACCAGTGGTGCACCCCACAGTTGTAATTCCTAGTAAGGCTGTAAAGCTGTTAAGCCCTGCATGCTGTGTTTACTTCTTTTTTTAAAGAGCATAATAACCAAATACAGGCTCAGAAGAAATTCCATGCTGAAAAATCAATCTTCTCCTAAACAAAGCTTTGGCGTTTCATTCCTTTCAGGTGCTATCCCTGGAGGTTTGAGTATTGGTCCTCCGGGAAAGTCCTCCATTGATGACTCCTACGGCCGGTATGATCTGATCCAAAACAGTGAGTCACCAGCCAGTCCACCTGTAGCTGTTCCTCACAGCTGGTCACGTGCCAAAACTGATAGTGATAAGATTTCCAATGGCTCCAGCATAAACTGGCCACCAGGTAACAAAACACAATGCTTTCATGTTAAACTCATTCACCTCTTTGAAAACTATTGTTGGCTTTATGTATTGAACCTTCTTACCTTTTGATAACTATGGAAGAAGTTAGAATGAAGAATTATGACCTTATCCACTACTGATTCTTTTAATTTTTGGAACAGAATTTCATCCAGGAGTGCCATGGAAAGGACTGCAGAACATTGACCCTGAAAACGACCCTGATGTTACTCCTGGAAGCGTTCCGACTGGGCCCACCATAAACACCACCATACAGGATGTTAATCGCTATCTTCTCAAAAGTGGAGGTAAACACACATATTTCTTATAAACTTTCATGGTCACTGGACGTTCTCCTGCGCTCTGTAATTCCTGACACTTGGTTTTGCACAAGATTTTGCTCCACATACTGACCAATCTCTTACCTATATGAAATAGTCATAAAATATTAATAATTTCCATGGTTGTTGCAGATCATAGAATCATAGAATGGTTAAGGTTGGAAGGGACCTCTAGAGATCATCTAGTCCAACCTTCCTGCTCAAGCAGGGGCAGATGCAGCAAGCTGCTGTCAAGCACAATTTTTGCCTCATTAAAAGCTCAAACAGGAAAAGAAATTAGACCTGTGTTAACCTAAAAAACCTCAAAACTGACAAAAAAAAGGAATTAGCTTGAAAATTAATGTTTCCCAATGCCGTTTTTATTTTTTTTTCCAGTTATGTTTAGTCCAAAATTAAAAGGGCATTCTCTAGAATGATAAAACAGTAAGACAGTACTGTTTACCAGCTAGATCCTATGAAGGATGGCTTGGTTTAATTGTGGTTAGTATGCCACAAGAGGCAAGCAATCTGAAGAAAAACGTCCATTTAGAGCACTGTGGTATGCACAGGAGGTTTCCAGTCAGGTTGTCAGGAAGACTTGTGAAGATGAAAAATGTATATTTTGTTAGAGTAGTTAAATGAGTGATATCAGCACATCTTAAAAATCGGAGTTGTCCTTGAAACTGGTTTCCAGCTCTGAACTTGCTAGTTCGAATGGAAGGACATGGAACCTGCGGGAAAGGAAGCATTGGGGTTTCATTGCCTGGAATAATGTGGAGTTGTGTCTCTCACTGGCTTTGAAACTGCCAGAAAGGAATCTTTATTTAAGCTGAAACATCAAGTATTTATGTGCATGGGTAATGATGAATTAACTTTTAATGACCCCAGTGTACTTTCAGTTGCAGGCAACCCAAAACGTTTGAAGTAATCTTTGCAGTGCTAAATAGAACAGTACAAAAATGTAATTCAGCCAAAGTTGAGATCAGATACATCTGACAAATTCTCCCTTTAGGCCAAAAACATAGCATTGCAAAGCTACACCTGTATGTCAGATGACAGCTGCTGCAGGTCTTATTTCTTTATAGAGGGAAAATACATACCAGCTCTGTCAGTATATAATCTATCTATGGAGCGAAGAAATAATTAAACTGCATAACTGAATGTCAGTAGATGACCTGTGCAGAGGTAAACAGCCTCCAAGAGAAAAAACCTTGTGAAAAAGCAGTGACTGTTGGGGTCCGTAGCTTCCTTTGCTCATCAGCTTTTTATCTTTTTAACGTAAATAATGCAATTTTAATTAAAGTGTCATTATTGAATCAGTTTCTGATAGGTGTGTAAGTCTAGCTGTTGGCAATTTTAAAAATCCACAGCACTCTTGTTAGCACTGCTTCATATGAGGTAGAGACTTTTCATGGCATGTTGCCAGGAAGAGACCAGCTTCAAATATTAAACATTCTGCAAAACAAAGACTATGTTAACAGAGCTGAAAACCACTCACGGTGGTATGTGCCATGCTTGCACTGTGCCCTTAGAAATACACCAAACCTAAGCTTGGGTTTGGGTTTGGCTTGCCCTGGTGGCTGATGAAGTTTTAGCGGATCATGTGCTACAAACTAGAAGTCTTAGGGAAATGAAATCAGGATCCTTTCCAGCACTGTGAGGTGGATCTGCTGAATCTGGTACAGTTCCTTTCCCCCCAGAGAGGTGTCTGCGTAGGGAATGGGTTATAGCAAGAGAAGGCCTCTATATTTAGCTATTTGCTTGAGACTGATGTCTGTTTTGATAGGTCCTGTGGGACCCAGTAAGTCTGGATAAAGTAAAGTTTGGGTTTAGTTACAGCTGAGCATGAAACCTATGTTGTTTATTGAACTCTGAGAGATGAGATTGTCCTTTTATGTCCTCCCTTTTATGTACCTCAGTGCATCACTCTGTGCCTTTTTCCAAAGAACTTGCCTATTTTTATTAGTCGGTTGAGGACACTTGAGTATCACTGTATGTCAGTAATGATAAATCACCTGAGATTAATCACTCAATTTTTGTTGGTGGCTAGAGAGAGCACTTCCAGCGCTTTTGGTCTTTGTAATGAAGATGTTTTATTTTATGTTCAGTTTCTTTTCTCTGCTGCAGGTTAGGAAATTGTATGTGTGCTTAGATCCTCAGATTGTAAATGATTTACCAAGATGGTTCCAGGCTATTTCCTTTAATGTTACTAGTTTGGAAAGAGCCTGCTAAAATATATCTTTGTCTTACCATAAGTCTGCAAAAAATAAAGATCTTTGTGGGCTTTAGAATGTGGAAGTGCTTACCTCAAGTAATTCAGGACAAATCACTCATGGTAAGAGATTAGTTTATCATATACATCTGTGCTCATCTACAGTTGCCATTGCTCAAGTCAGCTGGTAAAGAACCTTTATAAATAATGCCTGTTCCTTGAGACTAAACAGTTTAACACTGATATTTTAGTCATGCATATTAAAGGAAATGCAGGATTTGTCTTCTGCACAGTCACTAATACATTTGCCACTGTGGCAACTTTCTTCTCTTCTCCACTAAAGATTTCTGCTTCACTTTATCATGCCTTCTATTCTGTAACATTTCATTCCTAGAATTCAGAGACCAGGCCGATTCAGGAAAATAACTCGCATGGTTTGTATTTGCACACGATCGAGTTGCTTATGTCACACCAAACCTCATTATGCCCATCTTTCTTAGCTGCTTCTTTGCTGGTTCTGCAGGGTCATCCCCAACATCATCTCAGAATGCCACGCTGCCTTCATCGAGTGCCTGGCCGCTTAGTGCCTCCGGCTACAGTAGCTCTTTCAGCAGCATTGCATCCGCACCTAGCATTGCAGGTACGAAAAACGGCCTTTCTACTTTCCCATTCCTCCACATTCTGGGAAAAGGCCCTAGAAAAGTGCTCCTTCCCAGTTACCACAGTAGCGCTGCTGCAGACACAAGCACGTTTTGAAGTCCCATGGTAGGTGGCTCCTGGCAGCTCCTCACCCTGAGCATTGTATGGCATTCCTGGAATTGTGCTAAGGAAAAATGCCTTTACTCCACATGCTGCCCTGTGCTGCCACTGTGGGTTGGTACCTAGGTCTCTTAATTACACTTTTGATTGCAGCTTTGAGGGAGGTGTGTCCTGTTCTCTAGGACCTCAGTAGCAACGCTGTTACTAGACCCTTCCAGTAAGCAGAGAAGGGTCAATTGTCCTGTCAATTGTCAGAGAAGGGAATTGTCAATAAATCCACATTTAAAGCTGAACCGTCTTTAACTTAGGAAAAAGTTTAGTAGGAGGTGCTCTGCTGTGGAGGGGCTTGTTTGTTTGTTTGCTTTAGGAAGCTTCCTAAAGAACAAGTTCATTCTGTGGGCGTGTCCTCTTAGTTAAGTAGATTAAGCATATGTTTAAAAGTCTTTAAATAGCCACTCCAAAGCCTGATGCACCCTATATGCCTGAGCTTGCAGATGATCTAGATAACGTGACTTGTCCCAATCTTTTTAATGAGCTGTTAATTCTGAAGCCTCTCTCTCTGCAAGTCACAGGAACTTTGCTTGCTAGCTGGCTTCCTAAATATCTAATTTATCCCATTAGAAAAATATGCAGGAGCTGTTGTGTGGATTGTATTATCAGTATTGTATTTAATCAAAGAAAACCCTCCACTTTGAATAAATGAAGCTGCAACCTCCAGGTCAAACTGCAGAATGCACTTCATGCTCTCAGAAAACAAAAAGCTTTTGTTTGAAAGGTTCTGCTCCAATGAAAGCAAAGAAAACGAAAGCAGTGGCTTGCTTTTCTTCTAACTGCTATGCATTTCTGCTTTATTTCCTATTATTTTTTTGCAGTCTCATCTAATCTTTGTGTTAACCCCATGAGAAGTAGTGGCATAGCAACATCTAATCTGTGGTAATGTGCATGTATCATGCATTGAATTGCAAGCAGAGCTGCTCTGAGTTCGAAAAATCAGGCTGCTTCCTTCCCCTGCCCCCCTTTTTTTTCTCCTGTTAATGTCTCAGTCATCATTGCTAAATGCTTTTTGGTACTACAGTTTACAGAAAGCTGAGGACCGGTTGCCCTCTTGCTCAAATTATTATAATTCAATATAAAATCATAATATAAATAGTCAAATTGAGGCCATGGTTTGGTGATTGGCAAATTAGGCTCAAGAGCTGCTCTCAGAAAATCTGTGCCTAACTGCATAGCACTTACTCTGCCAGTTCAAAATGGATTTAAAAAAATTTATAACTCAGTTTTGCATCTTGGACTTGGGCAGACCAAATTCCTTGCTGCAGCTGACAGAAAGGCATTGGGCCAGCATAAATACAACAACTCATCACAGTCCCTTCTGGTCACCTGTGGGCTGCTGGTGGTAGTGACAGTGGGAATGTGGTGTGACCAGGCAGCTGGACTCTACTTTCAGAACATGTGTTGGTACAAGGAAGAAAGAGGAGTGCAAATCCAGAGGTCAGGTGTTTCTGTGGGTTTTGTTTCAGTATGTGTAAATTGGTTTTTTTTGGAAATTTGTTTTGTGTGAAGCTCTGAATGCAGAATTGTGCTTTTTTGTTGTCATGTTTTTCTCTCATTTTAGAAGGCTCTGAATTTGAGTACAAAAAGTGGTTAAATTCCATTCAACGTATGAGAGAGAGAATTTTGAAGTTTTTGATTTCGATGAAATTAGATTTCAAATGCTCAAGTCTATCCTTTAGTCTTTTTTTTTTTCCTGTTGTCCAGTCTTTATGAGAAAGAGAAATAGTAGGAGGTAGAAAAAAGGGGACTTTACATGAAAGTATACAGTCTAAAAAGTGTACCAAATTACTTGAACATGTAGACAGTAGTATAATAAATTCAGTGGGAGTAGGATTTTTGTCTTTTATTCCATTTCTCTCCTACATAGATGGAAAAAGCACAGTTGTTGCAGAAGCCTGAAGATTACCCATCCTATTTAGCTTAAACCCTGGCTGCTAACTAACAATACACGTATTTTTTTTCTGTTGCAGGTAAATTGTCAGACATCAAGTCGACATGGTCCTCTGGCCCGATCTCTCACACGCAAGCCTCTTTATCCCATGAACTATGGAAGGTACCCAGAAACACTACTGCTCCTACAAGACCACCTCCAGGCTTAACCAACACCAAGCCATCATCTACTTGGGGTGCCAGTCCGCTGGGTTGGACCAGCTCTTACTCCTCCGGTACGTCTCAATTCTGTATTTTCTATTAATGCAGTGTCTTCATTTTGTAGTTGGTCACGTTCATTCTCTGGGGTGCACAGGGGAGCACCCCGAAGTTTCGCATTAGGCTGCAAGTACTTGAGGCTCGATATAAGCAAGATCACATCTGTTTCAAGGATGGAGCATACATTTATTTTACATAGGATAGGATATAAATTGGAGTATCATCAGTCAGATGATCATATTAGTAATTTTACCAATGAATTGCCAAATAATTTCACTCCACCAAGGGTTTTTTTTTTCCATTCAGTTAACTTTTAAAAATAGCTTTTGGATCTGTTGGCATGGATATGAAGCATTTAGGACTTGAGGATTGCCTTATGTTTTTCATGCAGTCTCTTTCTTTAGGTGTGATTATTTTGTTTATTTACAAATTAGGTAAATTATGAATATGGCTCTGTCAACATGTATCATGCTTGTTTACAGAGTGTTATCTGCTCCAAAATAAATGTTCCACCTATTTTATCCAGCTGTTTTATTAATCTGGCCTCAGTGAGCTTGGAATTGAATGTTCTTCCCTGCTGTTGCCATTTTTTTGTGTGGTTTTCATAGTTTTCAGCCTGCTTTTCTCATCAAAACCCCACCTGGTGGGCACATAGTGCTGGTGCCTGCGTCCTCTCTGGAGCCTGAGTGTGGTCACCCACATGACTGGAGAAGTACTGCGGTTTTTCAAATGCCACTAATAAATGTCAAGCCTGCTCAAGTTCTCATTGTAAAACACCAGACTGAGCTTGGAAAAGCAGGTTTCGCCGGTTGTATCCTGGTATCTTTAATCAGAACATTGTCAGTGCGGAAATATCTGTTTTGAAAACGTTCATACACAGTAATGTATCACTGGCAGAACAGCAGAGCGCTGCAGTGCTATAAAAACCCGTAATAGCAAGCAGCAATCTGGGCTTGGACATCTGAATAGCTTTTAAAAGGTGTCTTCCAATTTAACTCTGCTGTAACCTGCAGATGCAGTTTGTGGCAGTGACATACCTTGTTTTCCAGTCGCTACTTTGGGAATACGAAAAATGCTACAGATCTTTTAAATGTAACAGAAATAACTTTTCATCCAGCAACCTTTCATTTCAGAGAAGACCGTAAATCAGCATGGGGGTAACTGTTGTTAAATTGTTTTCGGTAGCAATTACGCTTGCTCTGTTGTGTTGCAGTTCCAGATGAGTTTCCTTATTGCCATGTGCTGCCTATATCATGGCAAAATATTTTGTTTGCAATTTTGTAGGTTCTGCATGGAGTACTGACAGCTCAGGAAGAACAAGCAGCTGGCTGGTTCTTCGAAACCTCACACCCCAGGTAAATGCAATTATATGTAGCTAGGTATGAAAAGAAGCTTCTTATACTTAAGAAATTGTTGGAAGAACCCTTACCAACCTTGGCCATTTAGTTTATTTGAAAGGAAAATACATTATTCCACATTTGTTATGAGTGTCTGCCTTCTACGGGGAATCGGTAAAGCTCTTACAGAGTGAGCCAAATGGGAACTTGAGGAGTATGTAATTAGTCATTCATTGTACACGAATTATGCATGTGTGTAAGTTTGGAAGTGAATGATATCTTAAGGCAGATTCAGAGACTTAAGCTCTTTTTCCTGTGGATTTATCTCTTGAGTCTGTCGAATCCTCTCATCCTCCCCACAGAATCCTTCACTTGTAAGGAGGAACATAAGCCCGAAAGCAATGAATGCAGACATCCAAAGTGATCTAGAAAAAAAAAATGTTATATTTATGAACAGTTCATTTTTCATTTGACTTATCCGTAGACTTTATATGATAAATACAGCTAGTATCACCAGTAGCACCAATGCTAGTATCACCAGAAATTTTGTGTACAGAGAAGTCTTGAAAAGACAAGATGTCTCACTTCAGCCAAGACAGTCTGTAGCTAAAGTGATGCTGTAGAACGATCTTTTTTTTTTCTTTTAGGTGCACTTCTTTGCTTTTAGAATTGTTTGGTTAGTGAGCATGGCAAGTAAAATCACAAAGATGCAAATAACCATTTGTCCTTGCTCTCTTGCCAGATCGATGGTTCCACACTGCGGACACTGTGTTTGCAGCATGGCCCTCTAATAACATTCCACCTGAACCTGACCCAAGGGAACGCTGTGGTCCGATACAGTTCCAAGGAAGAGGCAGCCAAGGCCCAAAAGTCTCTGCATATGTACGTTTTTGCCCTGTCTTTCCTTAGATACGAAGCCAGTTACATCTCAGAATGTACTTTTTAAATTATTTGTTTGCTGAGATTCAGAACTCATCACTAGGTAGTTTAATCTGAATTTGGAAATTGCCTAATGAGAGAGCTGCACAGAGGAATCAAGTAATTGCAGGACACTGCACATACAATGACCTCAGTGAGAGCTGTATAAGGATCTGCGCCTCAAGCACTTCTGTAGCGAGGATCTGGAATTCCTCAGCCATCTAGACAGTCCAGGCCAGCAAAAGGGAAGATAGATTTGTATGAAAAGGAATAACACAGCTGGTATACTGTGGTATGATTGCAGTAAATTCATGTGACCACTGCTTTTAATTTCAGTGTTCTTCAAAATTGGTTTGAAAGCAGTTACTGACATCATCAAACTAGGAAAAGACACTTATTGTTGATGGCAACCCAGCAAGAGACTGCAATCAGGAGATGGTGGCCAGAGCCTCCTCAAACATTGCTGGTGCTTGCTTACAAACCAGCTCTTTTTTCAGCAAAAGTGTCATCATTAATACATATGTTCTGAGTTTCATACTATGCACTTGTGAGACTGAACTAGGAAATCCAGTGGGAAGTGGCATATGGCTTTGTCTTCCGTTCGTTTTTAGAAGTTTTTGGGTTGCAAAATAAATGCTAGAAGAAAATAAGAGCTAGATTGTTGGGATGAAAATAAGAGCTAGGTTCTTGGGATGCTGCACCCATTTCATTAGCCATAAACTACTGTTGTTACTTGCTATACAAGCGCATAGAAATTAATCTAGAGAAAAATGAGGTTTCAAGAAATGAAAAAAAGCCTTCCACTTTCCAGGATGAAGAGTGAGTTGCATTGAAGCATGAGTCAGTTTGCAGCTCTTCATCTAGTCAGTTGATTTTAAAATACACATTCCTGGATCTGTTGCAGGATCTGAATACCCAGATGTACTCGGGGAGGGCACGTGAAGGGGAAGAGCTGAGGGTTTGGGGTGCGAAGCGGGGTCCCTGGGAGGCTCCTGGTCGCGAGGAGGCGGGTGCGTCGCAGCCCTGCGCTGAGGCGCCCGGCCGCCATGAGGAGGCAGCGCGCCATGGCCGCCTCGCGCTTACCTCTGCGCTCTCCCCCCTTCAGGTGCGTCCTGGGCAACACTACCATCCTGGCGGAGTTCGCCGGCGAGGAGGAGGTGAACCGCTTCCTGGCACAGGGGCAGCCGCTGCCGCCCACGTCGGGCTGGCAGTCGGGCGGCGGCCAGGGCCGCCTGGGCTCCGGCGGCGGCAGCGGCGCCCACGGGCTGGTGCGCGGCGACGGCAGCCACTGGCCCGCGCCTTGCCTGGGCGGCAAGGGCAGCAGCGACCTGCTGTGGGGCGGCGTGCCCCAGTACTCCAGCAGCCTGTGGGGCCCCCCCAGCGCCGACGACGGCCGCGTCATCGGCAGCCCCACGCCGCTCAACACGCTGCTCCCCGGGGACCTCCTCAGCGGCGAGTCCATCTAGGAGGGCAGCGGCGGCAGAGGCCCCGTGGCGGAAGGCACAATCAGCAGCACTAACAGAGAAACGAAACGGAACAGCAACAACAAAAATATGAAAATGAAAAAAGAAAAAAAAAAAGGAAAAAAAAAAAGAAAACAAAAAACATCGTAACCCTTTCCAGTCCCGGGCTTGGCGAAGAACCCAGCTTTAACAGATGAGACTGGCAGCCCTGTTTTTTTTTCAGTACCTCTGTCCGATATCGAAGCTGAGACTGCAGAAGCCCTTGTGAACTGTTAAGGCAACAGTATGGGCTGGTTTTGGTCAGTGTCCCGTGCTAGCGACACGTTTTATTCCCCTTTCCCTCCACCTCCCACCCCAGTGGCTTTTTTGTTTGGTTGGTTTTGTTTCACGTCGTCTTTTTTTTTTTTCTTCTTTTTTTTTCCTGTTCGTACGGTGATATTTTACAAACCGAGTCTAAAAGCTGCTTAGAATAGGTCTATCATGAAGGGCACTTTTCAGAATTGGGGCTGGAAAGGGTTATTTTGTCGACACGGGCTGGGGAGGGGCGGGTTGGGGGGAACTCAAGCCTATTTAAAAATGAGCCTGTGACTCTTATGCACATTACCGGAGGCGGACCCAGTAATCAGAAGGGGTGAAGTGTGATATTTAGCGTTGGTACCGACACGGAAGGAATCTGAACAGTGACTTTTGCCTGTACAGGTTGAACTGGGGGCACGGGGTGGGCGGGAGGGCGGTCGGGGTATCTCTGTGTCCACTACTCCCATGGATCTGCCTATGCACATTACCCTTGTTTTCATGACTTTTTTTTCCATGGCATTTTTTTTAATCCCCCCAAAATCTAAAAAAGTTTAAAAAAACAAAAAACACAAAAAAATACACAAAAAAAAAAAAAAACATATCAAACATGCAAATATACTTGAATCCAGCAGGCCAATAACAAAATGTGAACACTTTCTAAGTCTAATTATTACACTTCCAGGTTGGCATCAGTACACAAAATAACAGGCTCTAAGGATTTCTTTTTTTAAGTTCCGGACTATATGTTTTGTTGGGACAGACGTGTGTGTGTGCGTGTGCTTGTGCGTGCGGCCGCGTGTGTTTTAACTGAAAAAGTGTGAATTTCTTGTTTTCCTTTTATTCAGTATATGCTTTTTGTTTGCTCATTGGTCAAATGTTTAATTGTTATTAGCTTCTAACTTTGCACTGAGTGTCCGCAGCCCTTCTTGTAGCTAATCCTATGATGCTAAAAAGAAAAATGAAAAAAAAAAAAAGAAAAAGAAAAAAAAAGAAACAAACTGATAGAAGGGGCCGGCGACAATTCACGTGTAAATGTTTACTCAAGGACTCTTATCGCATTTTAAAAATTACAGTGTGTATCTCTGGAGAATAATATGTATATCTACCTTTAGCGGCTTTTTATTGTGGACTAATGCAAGAAAATTATTACCGGAGTATTGCACCGTTTTTTCCATTCGGAATATAAAGTTTAAAGAAAAAAAAAATACTCTTGTTGAACTGTGGCCATAGATAATTGTAAAGAATGGATAGTTCCCTTGCAAGCAGGAACAGAAACAAGCACTTGGACATAGGTTTTGACTGCTTTTGGAGGAGCCAGGAGTTTTGGCTCCCACCTGTTTACAGACTTTTTTTTTCTCCTTCAAACTTTAACATAAAAAAAAAAAAGGAATTAAAAAAGAAAAAAAAAAAAAAAAAAGACTTCCATCGTAAAGAAAACTATTTTCAGAATGAAGATATGCTACTTCAGAGCTCTGGGATTGAACAGTGTTGTTGTATTATTCTTTTCTTTGGCCATTGCTGTGTACTATTTTTGTTGTTGTTTTCCTCCTCTTCGTCAAAGTGGCGAAAACTTTGTGATCACTATCTTGCACATGGTGGAAGATGTCTCAGGAAAGCCGGGTTTCCCGAGGAGCAACTCCACACCATTTCATGTATTTTTAAAACCCAACTCCTAGCACTGAAGATATTATTAAAAAAATAAAAAATAAAAAAATAAAAAAAAAGACAGTAAGAAAGAAGAAAATACCTAATCTAATGTGTAGCAGTTACATATTTACCAAATAATGGACTCAAAAGAAATAGATGTTTGAAGAGTGCTTTATATATTAAAAAAATTGCTTTATGTTTAAAAAAAAAAAAAAAGATCAATGTTTTGATTGTTTTGAAAGGAAGAAAGACAATGGAATAACATACATGTCGAGTATGTTTTAAAAAAATATATGAACATTGTGCTCCCTGCCTGCTTGGATCAGGAAACTTGTGCATTACTTTTTTTGGTTTTGTTTTCTTTGTTTTTTTTTTTGTTTTGTTTTGGAAGATTAGCTTTTTAATGGTTTTATCAGATTTAAAGGGTCCTGCAAGATTGCAAATTAACAAAAGCTGGTTTTATAGAGGATCATGAACTATGCACAAACTGGGTTCAAGACTTGTTTTTTTCTCTCTCAAGTTTTAGTAGTGTATTTAGCTGAATAACCTTTCCTCAGAGTAATTGCATCTCATTGCCATTACACGCCTCCTACATATATATTTTATATATATATATATACACACACACACTCTCTCTCTTATATAAAATATGTATGTGTGTATGTGCGTGTTTACATACAATTTTCCATGCTGAAGTTTAGCATTGAGTTGTAGAAAAACTCCTGGTATTTTAAAATTGGGAATGAAAGTTGAAATTTCTGTTTGGGGGGAGGGGGGAACTTTTTTTTTTTTTTTTTTTTTTTGCCTTTCCTTTTGGATTAAATATGTCTGTAACTCTGAGATTAAAAAAAAAAAAATGTGGCTTTTAATGTTATTTCTCCTCATAGAATGTGATTGTTAAAAGAACATGCACCGAAAGTTGCTTTCAAGAGTACGAAGATTCTTTGAAACTTAATAAATTGCAGTTTTTTCTTGGCTGTTCAAATAATGTGTATTTTTCTTTTCTACAGGGGATGATAAAATTGTTTCTGTTAAGTCTGCTGCAATATGTCACGGAGCAGGTTTAACTTCTAATATCGAAACGAGTTTTATTGTGCAGCCAGGCAAAGCCCTCGTGCAAGCGCAGCCACGTGCTTTGAATGTGCTCTCCTAAGCTCGTCCTGTTGATGCTTTGGCTATCGCATCTAGCATCATGATGCATAAGAAGAGTAATTGTTGGTTTTGGTGTGGTAGTGAAGTTTTTTCTCATTTATTCCTGCCTTTTTCTAGCAATATGGTAGGCAAGTTGTTGATGCTTTGAGTATCGAGTGCATGGAGGCGATGGGTCCATCAAACCTGCAGTCATCCTGTGTCAGCTCCCATTTTTTGGACCAAGAAGTCTCTTGAATCCAAACGGACTAAATTTCTAGGAGATGGGCAAATTGCCTCTAAATATAGTATGTCACATAAAATACTCGAAGTTTGGGCTTTAAGGCTTGAAAGTCAAGGGAGATGCTTACGCTGGGGAGCACTGAGCACAGGGGTGAGGCACCGAGTGAGCGGAGGAGGATGGACCAGCCTTGTTCCATCTTATCTAACGATGACTTTAGTCCTCCTCGTTACACCTCCTAAAAACCTATATATCCATAAAACCTTCTGTATCTCTTGTGGCTTCATGGCGATGCCCGTGACTCTGGGCCCAGGTTTTCGGCGGTTTATGGTGCGCACAGTGGAGCTTGTTCCTCTTCATTTGAGAAGGGGGAAAACCTGCCATGGACACCTGGGTCAGGGGGAGGCAGTTCGCAGTGGTGATCTGCTCTCCTACGTGGGGTGGTTTCAGACCAGCTTTCTGGCCCCAAAATTACACGGCTAAATAGTATTAAAATGATTGTTTTGTTCTGTTTTACTGTGAACTGCTTCCCTTTCCCTTCCCTCCCTGTCCCTCTATTTTTCATTTATATTGGAATTCTTGAAAGAGAGATTGTGGCCTTTTTTCTTATCCCTCCTTGGGATTTGCTTGAAGCCTAATGGTTTTGGTGTCCTTGGCTTTTATTTTAAGTAGACATCCGAGTCCTTTGCAGAGCTTTAGCTATCGGGAGCTTTTGTCTTCCATGAGGTTCGTAGAGGTGGCTTTATGTAAACCAGATGTGCTCTCAAAATCTAGCATCCCCCTTGGTGAACTGATAGAAATAACAGCTCTGGGGAAAAAAAAGAAAAAAAAAAAAAGAAAAAAAACTCTTTTAGTGCTTGCTTTGATATTATGTTCTGTGTCATACACTTTTCTGCTTTAATGATAACACATACTTCTTAAGTTGTAAAGACAGCACCTAAAGCTAAGGGTGATCCTTATGTCTCAAGAATCGTCACAAGAAAACGTTTCCTGGGAATTTGTGTTTTTATGTGTGTTGCATTTACTGTATCTTCCATAGCACTTTCACTGCATGGCTTCCCTCTCTTCCAGGCCAAGAGAAGTTCTCCTCGCTAAGCGTCTGACGCCGCTGAGCTCCTCCTCAGTCACTTGTCTAGTCCGTGGGTGGCACTGGCAGAGCAGATTGTTCTGCTGCTTCTGCCCCAAAAATACTTTGCTGTTCTTGGTAATTCAGTATATGATTGTGTATGTGAAACAACGTTTTAATTAAAACAAAACAAAAAATGCATATGGATTTCTGTATATGTTAACAACTGTTGGGGCTGGCAGAGCCTAGAAATGGAAGGGAGAAGCCATTTTGTGAGAAGACATTTTGTGAGGCAGCCCGTGGCGAGGCCTCGTGTGCAGGCGGCTGCTCGCTGTGCGTGTGGGGCCGCGCTCGGCTGTGTTCCCACAGCGCTGCCGAGTGTTTGCTGTCCGCACGGCTGCTCCCGGCACAGCGCGTGGGGCGCGGGGATCACGCTGCCCGCTCGGCCAGTACTGCCGCCCACGGAGGAGGCCCAAGGCCACCACGGAGGCCCGACCGCCGGGCCTGGCCACACCACACGGGGCTGTTCCGCTCCCTGGACTGTTCTGCCAGCTCCTCGCGTCACTTCGGAGACAGCGACATTCCCACTAAACCTTAATGCCTCCGGGAGCAGCCAGACCTGTGTCCTCTCATGTCCCCCCTCGCTCCAAGCAGGGCTCTTCCATAGGCCCTGCGCGCTCGGGAAAGCCAGGGCGCACCATAGCATCCTGAGGGAGGAGTTCAGCCGCGCGCCCCG